ATCAGGTGAAGCAAACAGTCCAGCACAGTTTCCTTGACCCCCAAGATCTCCAGCTGAAAATGAGGAGCCAAAAAGATAGCTACTCTGCCGGATTTGAGGGTGAGATGACTCACGTAGGCCCCTCCTTGCCACTCCAGGAGCTAGGTGGTTTCGTCTCCTGGGGCAGTATGGGTTTCTTGCAGGAAACACACTGCATACTTGCCATCCCGAAGGACCAAGAATTTCCGGAATCCGCGTTGTGACTCACTGCTGCCGTTGATGTTTGAGGCTGCCTATATCATATCAGCAGTATCATACAACCATCACTAAAATCGTTGAAAACACTCACTGGAGGACAGAGGACGGATGTACAGGTCCCGCGCCCTCCCCGTGAGTGCATTCAGGATGTTCCTAAACTGCCAGTATTCGTTCTTGGCCGGCCCAGGTGTGTGGCGAGCAGCCTGGGTGGACTAGAAGACCTGCCCAAAATCTTTCCAATGGTCAAGAGCCAGCTGGACCCTATCACAGCAATCGCGAGTGTCCTTGACAAAACCCCGGAGTTCCTCGAGGGGGAGCCCCAAGGGGGTCACCTGGAAGTATAAAACCTCACTAGGAGACAGACTGTACATCATTCCCAGCGCTTACCACCAAGCCTGAACACTTCTCTAGGAGGTCATCCTCAGCTGCCACCCCCTCCCTCACAGTAAGAGCAGGGGCTGGTCCACCCATCGTCAGCTGGCTCTAGTCTCCCCACTGACACCCCCAGGGTCACCAACAGGAATGTCCTCGATGCCTTCTGTCGAGGCATGCACTAGGTCTGGGTCACTCGGAAGAGGAGAGGGGTCCCGACAGTTGGACGCCTGGATGCTCGGCAAAATGCTGCTCCCCCAGGGTGCCCGGGCAAACAAATTTCTCCTCTACTGCTCGATGACCCAGTGGGATTTCCAATTACGTTGTGTGCACCACAGCCTGCATGGGGCTCAGGCTCTTTCACAGGGACCGGTGGAGCTGCAGCGGCTGCAGCAGCAGGAGGGCCCACGACAACTCCCGGGTCTCCAGACTGGTCAGGCTGCAGTATGGGAGGGGCAGGAGGCGCCCCTGGGGAAGGAACTATGCCTTATACTTTGGGTGGATTTCTCCACCGCCTGCAGGGAGCAATGCCTTTTCCCAGTCATCACTGTGATGACCATCTCCCCTCCCCCACCCACCCTGGTGATCATTGGGCCTACAAGCCCTCATCCTAGCTTCTCTAGGAGCGCCAGTGGCTGGGGGAAGGCAGGGGGTGTGACAAGGGCAGGGAAAGCCAGGTGCATCACTTCCTGCCCTGCCCCTTCGTTATCAGGTGACAGTGGGCAGGGCAGGGGCCTAACTTCTAGCCCACAAACCCCAGTCTCAATCACAGCAGAATAGCGGCCAGCAGTGGAACTCCTGAGGTCAGCTGAGTCGGGGGTGGGACTGGTAACGTGGGAGGGGGTGTTTGATCCTGAAGCCCCTGAGGTCAGGTGTCAAAGGGCGGAGGCTGTCGGCCATGCATTTGCGGGTTTGGGGGATCGGGGTTTCCCAAGTTGGGACAAGGCTGGTGCCACCACAGAGGCATTGTCGCGCCATTGTGGGGTGGACTGAGGATCTGACTCTGGGGAGCAGGGTATGCGATGGGGAGACTGTGACTGGGGTTGGGACAGAAAGATGTATCCAGTAGGGCAGCCTCAATGTACTTGGTTCTCCCCCATGCCTTTTTTCTGGCAGGATGCCCACCCGCTTCTCTGTTTGCGGTGGCGGCGACCTCCAGCTTGGGCTCCCCTTGCAGGGCTCCCGGTGTTACTTTAGGGGAAGGGGGAGCGAGTGCAGAAGTATCACCTGTGGCCCCCTGTGGGGGCTTGGCAAGAGTGGTGGGGTGGGGTGTGGAATCGTGTGCTACAGACACTGCAGGAAGTGAACTTCTCAGTGGAGCCCAGGCAGCAGCAACATTCCTTAGGTGAGCGGGCTTCCTGCAGCAATGGCTGTTCTTGAGTGGGGCCTCAGTCAGGGCCTAGACAGTGGTGGCAGCAGCAGCAAAGGCAAAAGGCCCAGGTCAGGGTAGAGGCAGCAGCAGAACCAGGGCCTCAGGTAGTAGTAGCAGCTGAGAGACAGACAGGAGGCTGGAAGAACACAGCAAGCCCGGCAGCATCTGGAAGAAAGAAGCAGTCAACATTTCGGATATTACCCTTCTTCAGGACTGGATGTAGGGGTATGGAGAGCTGCAGATAAAGAAGGTAGTGGAGGTGAGGCATGGAGGTGGAATGGTGGTGATAGGTGGACACTGATAGTAGGTATGAATTGGACAGCCAGCTTGGAGCTAGTCCTCAACGGAGGAGATTCAGATTCCCTAGTTATATTGGTCAACCTAGGCTTTCCTGTTTCGGGTGGTTAACCTGGGCCATTCAAGAACTTCATAGTTAACAAGGTCAACCTGGACTCCATCACTACAGATGCTATAAACCATATAGTAATTCTTCCAGAGGATTGGAAGACAGCCAGTGTGGTATGGTTTTTCAAAGGGGAGCAAGAGGTAACCACGCTATTGTAAGCAATTCTGAAGGACAGAATTAATCTGCATTTGGAGAGGTAGGGATTAATCAAGAACACTCGACATGGTTTTGTTAAGGAAAGTCATGTCTGACCAATTTGATTGAATTTTTCGAAGAGCTGCTCAGGCGTATAGATGAGGGCAATGTTTGATGTCATCTACTTGGACTCCAGCAAGACTTTTGATAAAATCCTGAATCAAAGACTGATTATAAAGGTAAGAACACATGGGATCGAGTCAGTGGAGGAAAAAAAAACTAGAAAAACAGTTCTATAGCCTGTGTTCCCAAGATCTGTTAGGTTGGTTATTGCTCATCCAAAGGTTTCTCTTCATCCCTTTCTTTAAATGCCTGCACTGGTTTGCAAAAGGCACCAGGTCCCGTTTTACTTGTAAAAGATCCCTGACATCTAATTCACAGTCACAACTTGCAGTTTCTGCTGAAAGAAAGATAACCTTGCTTTCTTCAGATTTGAAGTGGCTTACTGCAGATAACTTATTTTGGCTGCTGCAGAGCTGCTGGTTTCTCTTCTGGTCTCAACTTGATGCTGTTTGCCTTGCTCACAACCCAAACTGTTCAGCTAACTGACAATCATTGTTGTTTGCAGACAGAGGACTTTGGTTTGTGGACCTGGGACCAATTACCAAATGATAATCAGCTTCAAAAACAAAGTTGCTGGAAAAGCTCAGCAGTTTTGGCAGCATCTGTGGAGGAGAAAACAGTTAACGTTTCGGGTCCGGTGACCCTTGCTCAGAACAGTGATAATTTCACTGAACTCAGATAATCAGCTTCAGTTGTAAACAACCCCTTGCTATAGCTCATCTGCACATTTCTAGAACCTACAGCTACACAAAATAGGGTTTAGAATAAGTATCAGATTGCTTTTAAAACATGCTGTCATAATTGTAAATCCCTGATTTAAAAATAGTTCTTTGTTAATTTTGGTCTATACCGTTGAAAAATAATGTGCAAATATAAAACGGCACTGTCCTTACACTTATGAGCAAGACACTATCTCTTTTTCTCCTGCCCTTCCAAAATGTTGAATATTCTTGCATATTTGTTTCCCAGTATTGGTCCCCCTTAATGGCAATTAGATCATATTTCTGTTTGTGGCTTTAAATCATTTACCTTTCACTTGAGCCTTGCCTTCATTTTGCCTTTCTTCTAATTTCAATTGTCACTTTTGAACTCCCTGTTACCAGTTTTAATTACTTCCAATTTGAGATACTCCTCTGGTTTTCATCCCCCTAACAAGCTTGTGTGACCATTCCCCAAGAGAACTAGCAATCTCTCTATGTGGATTTTGGTACTGGTCTTGTTGAGATGTAAGCTGCCCAACCTGTATAGGACCCACTTGCCCCAGAAATGCTGCCAATACTTCAGGAACATGGTGCTGTCGCTCCTACATCTTCTCTAGCCATATGTTCAGTCGTCCTATTTTGTGCTGGTTAGAATGTGGCACTGGGAGTATTCCTGAGATTACTACTGTTGAGGCCCTACTTTTTGTTATCTTTCCTAACACCCTGAAATTGCCTTAAGGAACTCATTTCTGTTCTTCCCTACATTGGTACTAGTGTGGACCACCATATCTGGCTGTTCTTCATCCCCAGAAGAAGAAGAATGTCTTTCAGCCGCTCTGTGAGATCCTTGACCCTGAACTGATGCTGGAGACTGGTTTGCTGCTGTAGAAATACCTACCTAATGCCCTGACTCTAATCTACTATCCCACGTGCTGTTCCATTCTTCAACCTCTCTTATATAGATGAGTTGTCTGTGGTGCCACAGACATGGTTCTGGACTGAAATCTCCTTAGGAAACATCACCCTCCGTATCCAAATTGGAAAACCATTAGCAAGTATGACAGACTCAGGATTTCTGCAATACCTGCCTGGCAATACTCATTCCTCCCTGTCTCTAAGTTCCCATCCTGTACTATGACTGCATCCCTAAATGTGCTACCACTTAGTTATCTGATTCATGGATGTACAACAATGACCCCAGTGCCACTTGAGATCCAAATCTAGGACTTCAAGCTTGGGCATCTGGTAACACCCATTACAGGTTCACCTAGATAACATGGTGCATCCATTAGTTTCCATATACCTCAGAGGTGCATTCCACTGGCTGAGCTGACCTGCTACGCCATAACCTTAAAATGATTTAAGAGCTTGTCAGTTACAAATCAGTCAGCTTATGACCTACAACAAAGATAATTGTTGGAGACTGAAAAAGGTATAAAAAGAAAAGAGCGCATCCTTTGACTCTTTAGCTAACTCTGACACTCACCAAACTCCCACATTTCACTTTATGCATCCAAAGGAGCCCTCACTGCACAAGTTAAACTAAGTATATTGGTTTAACTGAAACATGTTTAATGTATACAAAGGTAAATTCACAAATGTATCAATTTAAAAAGAAAGTTACACTTTGTAACGTGTATTTTCTGTTTTCAAGGTTGCTTGTCGTTATGTCTTGAAAAAAAGTGACCATATTGAAGGCTTGCTAGATATATTGGGTAAGTGTTATTTTAAAATACAATGATATTGAGACTTGAACAGAGAATGAGTAGGAGAGTGTAGGTGTTTATCTCTAGTGACTTGATTATAAGTGTTTACAACAGGGCTTGCACAAAACTACTGCTACTATACACCAGTGTCCCTCAGTTACGTTTTCAAAGAGAATTATCCCAGGCTTTGAAAGTTGGAGGGGAGGCTGACGAGTGGAGTTAAAGATCTAGATTATCATTCATAAGCATACACTAATAGTTGTACTAATTCCATCCTTGGACGGCTGCCTGTGTGGAGTTTGCACATTCTCCCCATATCTGCATGGGTGCCTGCTGGGTGCTCCAGTTTCCTCCTGTAGTTCAAAGATGTGCAGGTTTGGTGGATTGGCTATGCTAAATTGCCCATTGTGTCCAGGGATGTATAGGGTAGGTGCATTAGCCAAATAGCCTGTTTCCACACGGTAGGGATTCAGTTCTGTTCTTTTAAAAAGGTTTTCTGTGTTGGTACTATAATCACTACTCTTTGTTGTTAGCTTTAACATATTTACTAATTAGCAGTAAGAACTGGAACTGCTTGAAATGAGTCATTATATGTTTGAGTCTATCTCTTGATTTCTGCTTTGCCACATATAGCACGTCTCTTGTTTCATGATCTTGTTTCCTGTCTCCATTAATTTCTAAATGTTTATTGCAATCTTTGAAAATGTTCTGCGTTCCTCCTCCTAACAGGACTGACATTGGAACTCAATATATTGGTTTATCAAAGCAAGAGTTCATTCTGTGGTCAATTTAGACTTCAGTTTAATAAGAATGAACTCACATATTACAGAGATTTATGATGCCATTTTTACTTCCTCCAATTGCTCAGCATTCCCCATATCTGGGTTTTATCCTTGTCAAACACGCTGCATTTCACATCTAATCGAGAGAAATTTAGATGAAAAATTTTAAATCAACTTAATGCAGTTTTTAATTTAGAGTGTATATTACAAGCTATACCTATTTCAGAATAGCGTAAGTGTAAAATGAGAAAAACATATCTCTTGGCCTTCTCCAGAATAGCTGTCTTCCAAGATTTAATGTTTCTTTGCCTTTTTAAACAGTCACGTATATGGTACTCATGAACTTACTTTAATCGTAAAAGCAAACCAAACCCAATTATATTTTTTTAATTTTAAAAAGAATTATTGTTTATCAATCAAACTTATTGTCATAAATTCAGATTTCAGTGTACTGTTGGATGTTTTCCAGAGCAATATGCATCAAGTTGATTTTAGGACCTTTTCCTACATGATCATAATTTAGAAATTTGTCTTATAATTTTGTAGTTTATGAAAGCTACAAAATCTTGAAAGATAGCATGTAGTGAGCACGATAACATTAGCCTTCAGGGAAGTATTGTCAGTCTTTGAAAAGAGCTCACGTATGACTGATGCAATTTCATATGGGTAAGTGTGAAGTGAGGCAATTGACAAAGACAGCATTAAGATGCATTACAATCAAAGTTGTAAATTTTGAGGAGGGTGCATAGCAGAAGGACCTGGTACTGCATACTCTTAAAACTTTTATGGCAGGGCAAGTTGATTATTAAAGTGTATTGGACAGTTGATATTGCAAATAGGACATTGAATACAGAAATTAAGAAGTGATGCAGAACCTTTACAAATCTAGTTTGGTCTCTAGTTAGAACTGAAATAACTGCGCAGAGGCTGGGTCCCGTCAGCAAGTTACCCTTCTCATAGAATCCTCAAAATGTGGAAACAGGCCATTTGGCCCAGCAAGTCCACACCAACCCTCTGAAGAGCATTATCCCAGACTCAACCCCTACCCTATCCCTGTCACCCACACTTCCCATGGCTAATGCACCTAACCTACACATCCCTGAACACTGTGGGCAATTTAGCATGGCCAATCCACCTAACTTGCACATCTTTGGACTGTGGATTGAAACCAGAGCACCTGGTCGAAACCCGTGCAGACACGGAGATAACGTGCACTCCATGCAGGCAGTCGCCCGAGGGTGGATTCGAACCTGGGTTCCTCGTGCTGAGGCAGCAGTGCTAACCACTGAGCCACCATGCCACTCTATTTACTAGTGCACAGTACACTGGCTGTAACACCTGTAGAAGGACCAAGGCTCAGAAAGCTTGTGTTTTCTAATAAACCTGTTGGACTATAACCTGGTGTCATGTGATTTCAGACCTTTTCCACCCCAGTCCAACACCGGCACCTCCACATCGTAATTTTCAACTGAGAAGATTCTTTTCCTTGGTCATAGTCTCTTTTTTTGCAAAATTTGCATAAATTAATGTCACAGACACAGCACAACATCAGTCACAACACATCAAAAACAGGTTACCAAAAACAGACATTAACCAAGAACATCCTACAGAAAAACATCCCCATCCAAACAATGGATTTGAGTCCACGTAAGTGTCCCAAGCATAACACATGGCAAGGTCACTGTACATCAGGCAATTCACCAAAGAGCAGAGACATTGACAGAAAATACCATATAGAAACACAGTTCAATTCAAACGGTAATTTAAAATGTTACGACAAATACATAACATCAGTCACAATACATCAAATACAAGTCTCGTTAATAGAGAACATCCTACAAAAAAAATCTTAGTTTCAACAGTAGATTCAAGTCCACATAAGTGTCTGAAACATGACACATAGCAAGGTCACTATATATCATGTAATTCATCAACAAGTAGAGTCATTGACCTGAAATATCATACAGAACCAGAGTCTGGTACAGATGGTAATATAAAACCACCCAGACAAACACAGTCCCTAGAGCTATCAGTCGGACTCCTACATGGGATAGGGATACACGAAGACATAATACATACACAAAAGCATAGTCCAGACATGAGATACAGTACTCACACAAAGGCACGGTCCAACACATGAAGGGCCAGTACATCCACGAAGGCTCAGAAATCAGTTCTGAAATACAGCAGTACCACTGGTTACCAGCTCAGAGTTGGTTCTCAACTGAGGAGATTCTGATCTCATGGTTACATTAGTCAGATTGGCCCAGGCCCATTCACAAACAGTGCAGTTAATGAGGTCATCCTGGTCCCAATCACTACGGAAACATGTGCACAATTCTAAGCACCACATTTTTAGGAGGAATATCAAGGTTTGGCAGAGATTATAGAGGGAGTTTGCCAGGCTGACACCAAGAATGAAGATCTCTAGTTATCTGGAAAAATTGGAGGAGCTTAAATTATTCTCTTAAGAGCAGAGAAAGGTATTCAGAAAACTTATAGGAATGGGAAAAATTGAGGGATTTTAACAAAGTGGGGAGCAACTCCTTTGGTAAATGTGTCAATTACTAGAGGTGATAGATTTAACATAATCAGTTGAAGAATAAAAGGGATTTTTTTTTCATGTGGAACTCAGAAAGAATAGTGGAATCCAACCCAAAGACAAGAGGAGGGATTTGGACATATATTTGAGCAGACCTGTTTGTACAATATAGGAGGTGAGATGGTGAAAGGAGACATTTTCTCTTAAGCTACCACAAACTCAGAGCCGGGTGGCGACACTTGGAAGCTTCCCCAGTATTTATTCATGCATTTGCAAGGGAGATTCACTCTTAGTGTGGGGATAAATGGATCTCCCTGAACAGTTTGAAAATACAGATTTTTTTATAGTACCATTACGTGTGTATTATTATTTGAATGTACCAATCACCTAAAATACATATGATTCCACTTGTTCAGTCATGGTCAAATTCCATCTATGATGTTTGAATATTAAACCAGGGCAAGTGCACTGGAAGAGGGGCAAGTGAGCAGATAGCCAAATGCTTTGTCTTTAATCTTGCTTTGAAGGGAGGCCTAACACATCCTTACCTGAGCATCTTATCTGTTTATTGCCCCTGTATACTGGATTAGTGTCTTAGGCTGGTGCATGTGGCCACCTTCTTTTGGGAAAGGAGCCATTTGTTCTGGGCATAGCATCATCCACACGGGAGTGTTATTTCATTGTCATCTGGGACATGACCATTTGTTTTAACTCTTTCTCCTCGGTTTGTGGTCGATTTGTTCTGTTAACATGCTTGACTCCAAGCAACCTTAATACGCTTGTATTTCCCAAGCTACATTGTTTGCTCCAAATACTATCCTACCTAAAATTTATTAAACTTTTAACTGACTGTTTCAATTTCAGATGGGAAATCAGTGCTTTAGATTAGACAGCTCTTACAGCACAAGTGCAGGCACAATGGCCAAAGTGACCTTTGGTGCTGTAAGGTGGTTCTATATCATTAAGGTTTTTACAAAGATTTGTAGCTCGGGTTGTGGCTGATGTTGTTGACTTGCTCGCCAAGCTGGCTTGTTTTCGTTCAGATGATTCATCATCATGCTAGGTAACGTTATCAGTGAGGCGTCCAATGAAGTGATGTTGTTCTACTGCTCTTGGAATTTATATTGTCGAGTCTGTTATGGTAAGTTGTGTCATTTCCGGGTCTGTTCTGTATGGGTTTGTATATGGGGTCCAATTCTATATGTTTCTTGATTGCATTATGGATTGAGAACCATGCCCCTAGGAATTCCTGTGCATGTCAGTGTTTGGCTTGGGCTACTATAGTTACGTTGTTCCAGTACCAACAGGTAGCGATAGACCCAACACCGCAGCTAGGTAATAGGATCACCCAGACACTGAAGAAACTAAAGGATGCAGGACGGATAACCAAGATGGATTACGTGAGAATGAAACCAGAAGGCAACCCCCCCCACCTTTCAACGGACTCTAAAGTATACAAACCAGACATCCCCCATTGTCTCCTTACTGAGTACACCTTCGCATAAACTGGCCAAGGACCGACAACAGAGACTGAAACGCCTAGTCGACAGATCATTCCATTCCATCCACTCAACTCAAGAATTCCTCGCTACCCTCAGGAACATAAAAATCAGCAACGACAAGATTATGGTATCCTTTGATGTCAAGCATTATTCGCGTTAATTGACATCCCACTAGCCAAAGAAATGCTGGCTACATTACTACAGGAAGAAGGAACGCAGACCAGCAGCTCCATCAGCAATGACAACGTACTCAAACTACTAGACTTGAGTCTCACCACCCACTTCGTCTCTAATGGTCATGTATACAAACAGATCAATGGCACACCCATGGGGTCACCCATCTCAGGACTCATCGCAGAGGCAATCATGCAAAGACTAGAATGCACTACCCTCCCCCACATTCAACCTAAATTGTGGATCCAGTACATGGACAACACATGTGTCATCATTAAACGCACCAAACTAGAAGAGACCCACCGCCTCATTAACAGTGTATTCGCTGGGATTCAATTCACGCGAGAAAAAGAAAACAACAGTCAGCTTCCGTTTCTGGACGTCAAAGTTGAGCGTATGACCAATGGAGAGTTCCAAACGAAAGCAACCCACACTGACCAAATCTTCAACTTGCACAGCAACCACCCCAACATCCACAAACAAAGCCGCATTAGGACACTATTTAAATGGGCCACCACTCACTGCAACACAACAGAACAACGCAGGAAAGAGGAAAAGCACCTATACAAAATCTTTGCTATGAATGGATATCCCCACAACTTCATCTGCAGGTGCCTACTAAATAGACAACAACAAGAGGACACAGTACACCCTAACACACCGACCTACATAAAGAACAAATCAGAACCGACAATGAGATTCCATGACCATTAGGAATTATGATAGCACACAAGCCCACAACCATGCTACGACAAACACTCACAAGGATTAAAGAACCCATACCCATGACATGCAGAACCAGGGTAGTTTACAAAATACCATGCAACGACTGCCACAAACATTTCGTTGGACAGACAGGAAGGAAACTAACCATCAGAATACGTAAACATCTGCTAGCAGCAAAACAACATGAACGGAGTTTACCTAATATCAGTACACTCGGACAATGAAGGCCATCAGTTTAACTGGGACAATGTAACCAAAGTAGCCCAAGCCAAATATAGACACGGACAGGAGTCACTAGCGGCATAGTTCTCAACCCATAATGCATTCAACAAACATTCAGGATTGGACCCCATACACAAACCCCCATACAGAACAGAACCGGAAATGGCACAGCTCACCATAACAGACTAACACTATAAATTTCAAGTGGAATAGAACAACATCGCTTCATTGGACGCCTCACTGATGCTGTTACCTAGCATGGTGATGAAACATCTGAACAAAAACAAGCCAGTTTGGCGAGCAAGTCAATAACTTGATTCTATATCTGTTTAATCTGGGAGGATTGTGTTTTCCATTGACGCTGAGCATTAGTGAGGCCAAAATGACAAAACACTGTTTCAATTAAATTCATTATTGATTTCTCCAGTGCCAGAATTGATGAAAATTAAAATCTTTATTTTTTTGATGAACTCAGTACTTGGCAAACAATTATCATCAGTGACATTAAAACAGTTAAAAAGAAACATTTATTTTGTAGCATTTAAAGAGAGATCATGCTTTCTTTATGGATTTAATAATGTATTCATCTAACTGTTATGATCCCACTGATGATAATACTGGACAAGTCAAATTCCTGAGTGAAATCTGGCTTGATAGATCATAAGGTTTGTTTTTTGTTTTTGTTTACCATGGACGTTAGTCATTGAATGCATTCACAAGAGACTTCTAACAAAAGAGCATAAACCTTTATTAGACAAAGAAAAACACACAAACTATTAGAATGATCTCATTACACACATTGGAAAGAACAATTCATCCCTTTTTTCCTCAGCAATACTCTTACAGGCACTCAAACCTGAGGGAGGAGTCATCTCTTTCTCCACCCTGAAGCTTCTCGCTCAGTTGAGATGGCTATAATCAGCTTCTTTCAGACAAATTGCTTGACATCCATTTGTTTTTTTTTCAGTTAATGTCTATTCCTTCAAAACAGCTGTTTAATGCTACTTAACACTTGATCACCTGTGTTCCTGTTGTTAATTTAGCTTAAGCTTCTCAAAGAACTAAAAAGAAACTCATCTACTTTTCCTCCCCCTTAGAACCCAGGTTCTCAAATAATACTAACATAAAATGAATGTTTAAACAAAGAGTGAAAGATATGAGAGATGCAAGATATTGTAAATTATTTCATTCACTATAATTACCATTCCTTGTTTAGGAGAGGTGTATGCTCAACATATAATGACTTTGTTTTGTTTTATAATCCGTTGCTGGATGTAATGGTTATATAATTACAAGTACTCAGCACTGTATACAAAGTTACCTATTGTACATGCATACCACCTTGCCGAATGTAAAATCAATTTTCAATAGTAGTCATTTCCTGATAGTAAAACCATTTGATATCAGAGGTTTTTTCTCAGTAAGGGAAATATCTTAATTCATGGCATGAATTCCAGGAAATTGATTTTTATCAAGTAGTTTGTACATATATTCAACTTTACTTGAGCATAAGCATTAGTAGACATAAGGCAAGCCAATAACTTTCTTCTCCATGATTAAATGCACAATCCTTACCATATGTAGTTTTGATTTTTGTATTGTTCCTATGTTAATCAGTTACAAATAGATTGAGAGTGGAACTCTTTTTTGTTCCAAGGAGTGGATGTGCATATTCCTCAGTTTTTAACTTGTGTAAAACCGCCCCAGAAAGTTTAATCATACAGGCAGCATGGTCCATCAGGGGCAGAGGTAAGGCACCTGCTCTTCCCCAACGCTTAGCTTCTGGATCATAGATGAAAACACTATCTTTTTTGGTCATTTGACGAAGAGATCCCCCACCAGTGATGTAGAGTTTGGAATTGTGCACAGAGGTGCTAAACTGACAGCAGTCAAAAGTTGATACTTTGAGTGTCGTCCACTGGTCAGCTACAGGGCTGTAATATTCTGTTTCATTTACGTGCAACCACTCATCTGACTGGAAAAAATGAATAAATCTCAGTTAAACTACAAGAAAATAACATCACAACATTTGTTCCTTTCTAATTAACTACTCGTCCTTTTCACAATATAAAATAATTCATGGGTTTTCAAAACCACACCACTTTTTAAACAGAATTTAAATTAGGAAAAACCTTTTCAGCTCATAGATTGTTTTAGAAAGATTGCCATTTTTTTAGTGTACAATTTTGGCTGGTTTACGTTAGTACCTCAAATAGTTGTTCTGCATGCTTTCTTCTTTGTTACCTGGCTTTGAGTCTAGCTGTGAGAAAGCATCCTTTTGAATTAAAATTTATTTCTGAATTTTAAATCTTTCATACAAATAATAGTGCTAAATTATTTTTGTGGTCTGTTAACATTGCCAGAATGTTACCAGTTTAGTAATTGTGTTTGTAATTTACTAATTTCCCTCAGTTACAATGTATTCTGTCTTCATTTCTGCACATATTTTCCCTCATTGGGTAAGCTAACACAAAAGACAAGCATTGTAGAAAATGGTAATAATTCCTAACATTTGAATACTTGGCCATACCTGGCCTTTTGCTAGTTTGGCAACCCAAATTATAACAGGCCAAGCAGAGTGAACAAATGTTCTAGGAATTTGACATTTCAGGTCACTGAGCAAACTAACACCTTGATGTTGCTGAACAGCATTATTATCATTTCATGATCCATGTGGCAATGTTGTGATTCAGTTAAAATATGTTTGTAATCCCTCTTTTACATGCTGAAACAGTTCTGTATAGCCATAAAGCATGTGAACAAGATATTAACTTTGATAGGGAGGCTCTAGGTTGAATACCATTGGGAAAGAGCATACAGCAGAGTTATAAAAACAAACAGTAACTGTCATTAACATATTTGAGATGTTAGTTTAACAGAATGTAGTTATTTGAGCTTTTGCCTCCATCTGTTTTGGATGAATTTGAGGACAGTGCCTTTGACGTACCAGTTTGGTAACTCAACAAAGTTTGGTGTACTGCTAAAGATGCAAGGTTTTGAATTATTTTTAAACTTATGCTTGAATGTACTATACTCAAGTCATCGAAAATTTCATCAAGCTCATGTATGTAATTTAGACGCCGGTATACAGCAAATTCTACCATGAAAACAAATGGAGAATATATTGACTGTAAACTCTCAATTCTGGTATATGTGGAGTGGATTTGGAAATGTAATTGTTGGCTTCTTCTGTCTTGGTGCCATTGTAGAATATTGTTTCTCCTTTCAACTAAAATAAAGAGAAGCTAAAATTTAGAAATCTTTGGATACTTGCTATGTAAAAATGAACATATCTTGTATTTTTCTTATTGTTTGAATGTGGTCGATATAACACTTGCTGGCAGTGACAGTATACTGGCACCAGAAACTGCTCACAATTCATAAAGATATGCAGTTTCTGAATGCTTCCATCTTATTAAATATGAATTATTTAAAATAATATAAACAGGCCTGCAGGATGCAGTTAAATCCCAAAGGCCTTGATAATACAGTGTATATTTTATCTCCTATTTTGATTGAAATATTGTAAATGCTGTTGGAAAAGTTTATTCTTATTGACCTATTGATTGATTTTACTTTTATTTTTCATAGAAAAAAGTATTGAATTTTTAAGTGACAAGATTTTAAAGTTTTCTTACTGAGTTTAAAGTCCTTCCGCCTACACAGAATATTTTGTCTCCAATGGTAGCCATGCCATGGTCACAACGGGCAAATGTCATGGACTGGTTAATGATCCATCGTTGCAATCTTGGGAGGTAGCTGTACAGATCTTTTACAACTTTTCCTGCTGTGAATCCACCTAATTATCACAATAATGTAGTTAATACATATAATAGTAATTGTGTAAATTTCTCGCAAAATACAGTTTCCTGAATGTATACTTTCAGATATCATCCAACGTATGGTTCAGAGTAGAATAGAATCTTAGAATGCAGAAGGGGTATTCTTCTGTGGTATGTAGACAGCACTGACTGGGCCAGCATTTATTGCTCAATCCAAACTACCTTTGAGAATTTGCTAATGAGCTGCTTTCTTGAACTACCACAGCACATCCAGCGATGGTGAAGAAGTAGTTCTAATTCAAAGTGGCGTGCTGTTTGGAGGGCAGTCTGCACATGGCAGTGTTCCCACGTATTTATTGCTTTTATTCTTCTAGGCATAGAGATTTGGAATGTTCTGTAAAAGGAGGCTTGGTGAGTTGCTACAGTGCATCTTTGTACGTACTAGTGTCGTAGAGATGTACAGTATGGAAATAGATCCTTTGGTCCTACTTGTTCATGCCGACCAGATATCCTAAATAAATCTAGTCCCATTTGGCCCATATCCCTTTAAACTCTTCCTATTCATGTACCCATCCAGATGCCTTTTAAATGTTATAGTTTTACCAGCCTTCACTACTTTCTGTGGCAGCTCATCCCATACACATGTGACCCGCTGTGTGAAAAAGTGGTCCCTTAGGTCCTTTTTAAATCTTTCTCTTCTCAGCGTAAACCTATGCCCTCTAGTTTTGGACTCCCCTACACTGGGAAAAGAATTTGGCTATTCACACTATCTATGCCCTCATAATTTTATAAACCTCTGTAAGGTCATCCCTCAGCCTCCAAAGCTCCAGTGAAAATAGTCCCAGTCTATTCAGCCATCTCCCTATAACTCAAACCCTCCAACCCTGGCAACAGCTTGTAAATCTTTTCTGAACCCCTTCAAGTTTAACAACATCCTTCCTATTGCAGGGAAACCAGAATTGCATGCAGTATTCCAAAACTGCCTAACCAATGCCCTGTACAGCCACAACATGACCTCCCAACTCCTATACTTAATGCACTGACCAATAAAGGCAAGCTTTCTTCACTATCCTATCTACGTGCAACTCCACTTTCAAGGAACTATGAACCTGTACTCCAAGGTCTCTTTGTAGGCAATACTCCCCAGGACCTTACCATTGACTGTATAAGTCCTACCCTGATTTGTCTTTCCAAAATGCAGCACCTCACATTTATCTAAATTAAACTCCATCTCCCACTCCTCCATTGGCCCATATGATCAAGATCCCATTGTACTCTGAGGTAACCTTCTTCACTGTCCACTATGCTCCAACTTTGGTGTTGTCTGCAAACTTACTAACCATTCCTCCTATATTCACATCCAAATCATTTATATAAATGACGAACAGCAGTAGATCCAGCACCGATCCTTGTGGCACATCGTTGGTCACATGCCTCCAGTCTGAAAAGCAATCCTACACCACCACCCTGTGCCTTCTGCCTGCAAGCAAGTTCTCTATTCAAACAACCAGTTCTCCCTCTATTCCATGTGATGCCTGCCATGAGGAACCTTGTCAAACGCCTTACTGAAGTCCAAATAGATCATGTCCACCACTCTGCCCTCATTGATTCTCTCCATTGAATAACTGTGCCAAAATATCAGTTTTGCCGTTGGAAGAAGCATATTTCATCACTCAATAACTGATGTTTGTATTCAGCTTTACTTAGAAGTGAGATTTTTTTGTTCTAAGCTAGTATATTCAATTTCATGTCTTGATGAGTTAGCAAATATTATTCCTAGTAACATTGCTGCTAGTAGTTAACCTTCTGCAGATTATACTTCACATTACTTTGTCCTTCCTTCTCTCCTTTTCCTTTGAAATCTTAGGTAGCGCACCCCATTTTAATTGGCAACCTACAAAATGCCTGTGAATGTGCTATGTTATGCTAGAACATGAACAAAATCAGTTCTGTGATTAGTGTAACTAAATATCATTCCTCACAAAGTTTACTTTCCTGCAGCCTATTTTATAAGCAGAATATTGGAATGAAATGAAGTATTTTATGTAGTACTAGTCAGCATAAAACCTCAGTAGTCTATGTTTTAAGTTATCTTGCTTTTCCTGAGTAACTATGAACAGCAGCAAAACAGTCTGAATTCTCTAACATAATTAGAAATTGGTCAAAAAGCTCAGTAGGTATTGGCAGTATCTGTGGAGAGAGATCAGAGATAACATTTTGGGTTGAGTGACACTTCCTCAGACTGGAATTCCCCGGAGTTCTCTGATTTAAACGTTTATTTTCAGGGTAAGAAAATCTTCAATTTCCTGGACAGTTCCCTTGGAAAGAATATCTGGCCATTAGAAAATTTGGGCCTCTACAATCTGGTGTTAGACTGTGTGGTGAATGATGATATCAGTTAGATTTGCAAAAGACAAAGCAGTAGTAACAAGCACAAAGGAAGGATTACAAGAATTCTGTTTATATGGATTTGCAACAAGCAGCACAAACTTTGGAATGAAAGTGAACATTGACAAAACAAATTGTTGCATATCTCCAAATAACCAAGAAATAATCATAGGAAGAGAACTAAAGTAGATGTAAGAATTAAAATGTTTAGGAAGCATAATATCTTCAGATGGAAGAAATGAGGCAAAGAAAGCAATGAGAAAGGCCATATTTGATGAGAGACTGTTGTTGACTGGAAATTTGAATAAATAACTGAAAAATTACTTGTTTCGTAGGGATGTGAGCCATGAACCTTACAGTAAAAATGAGATCAACTTGCTGAACAGCTTTGGAGGATAACTGAAGGGATTTTCAGGTCAGAAAATGTAACAAATGATGAAATGCTTCGGAGAGTACAGCCATATGCCCTCCAGTTCAGGCTGTATTTCAGAGCATAACCAATCACACTGGTTTCAAAACAAGCCTGGATCTGCCTTACTGGAATACACCAGCTGAGAAGAGTTGCAAAGCCAGGCCGTAAATGGGACAAGCAAGCAGCAAAGGAAAAGACTATTGAGGGACTCGATCACTGTAGAATCGTAGAAACCCTACAGCGTGGAAACCGGCCATTCAGCCCAACAAATCCACACCAACCGTCCGGGAGCATCCCATCCAGACCCATCCCCCTACCCTTTTGCTGTAACATTGCATTTCCCATGACTAACACACCTAATCTACAAGTCTCTGAACACGATGGGGAATTTAGCATAGCTAACTCACGTCTCTGACTTGTTTATCCCGTTATGCCCATTGCTGTAAAAGCCTTTGCTTTATGGACAGTGACTGAATGGATACATTTATTGAACATAATTAGAAAAAGGCACAGGGTCTTGGCAGGTCATAGCGGAATCTGATTTGTAATGGATGTTACAGCGAGAGAACTTGAAGTTAAATGAGGAATGAAGAAAATATCAATGTTGGATAGAATGAAAATTGAAGCTACTGGCAAATTAAGAGAAGGCCGAGGATAGCGAGAATGAAAAGACTACTATAAACCAAGGACCTGCCTGCTGGCAGAATATATGATCTCGGGAATACCACTATTCTAAGTAGTACATGTAGCTTTTTTTTTTATTTCCTCTTCCTTTAGCCTGACCTGAAATGTATAGAATGCTTTTATGTACAGCCCCAGTGTGATCTGCCACTGCTGCTGGAAAGGGAGCTATGAGCTGCCACTTATTCTCTTCAAACTTGTATTCTTCCACTGTATTTGTGAGTTGCCCTAAAAGTGTTCCGCCTGCCACAGAAATAATGTGGTCTAAGACTGCATCCACATAAAATCGTGTGCGGCTTTCCAGCATGCCAGCAACCTGAAGCCATGTGCTGTTCCTTGGATCAAACCGATGTACCTGGAAAAAGAAAGGAAACTGAATGTGACAAATACCTTGGCAGAAATATTTTAACACTGGAGTTGACTTTTTCCAAAGTATGTGCTGACACAGTTATATGAAGTGTGACTGATATTCAGAAAACTATTAATGTTACATAATTTCCTTGTAACTATAAGATTATGAAAGACGTACAACTTATTGACATGCTTTGTATTCCTTTTTGACATTTTTGATTAATTTACATTTTGTTTATTTGGATTGCTATTACATATTGTGGTTTTTGTTTACCAATTCTTTGCTTTGTCTTTTCTGGGTGTTTATATACTGGCTCAGTGGTTAGCACTGCTGCCCCACAGTGCCAGGAACCCGGGTTTGATTCCATCCTCAGGTGACCGTGCAAACTCCACGCAGACATGGGGAAAATGTCTGTGTAGATTTCCTCAGGGTGTTCCTGTTTCCTCTCTCAGTCCAAAGATGAGCAGGTTAGGTGGATTGGTCATGCTAAATTGCCCATTGTGTCCAGGGATGTGTAGGTTAGGTAAATGCAGGGTTACAGGGATAAGATTGTGGGTTGGGTCTGGGTAGGATGCTCTTTGGAGGGTCAGTGTGGATTATGTGGGCCGAATGGCCTGCTTCCACACTGTAGGGCTTATGTGAAATGTCAAGACCCTTTGATCCCTTCCTTTGTTGACCTCAGTGTATAAAAGAGCCTTGGTGGGTTGTCTGAATATAAATGGACATCATAGCTGTGTCTAATTGTAATTTCACCTTGTAATGCCACATAATATTTTGCACTCCAGATTGATGGATGACAGTGTGAATCACACCTGAGGCTTTGGTTGGTATGACACTGCCTAATGATCACAGCTACTTGTGTCATACTTCATTCCACAAATATGAGAGGGCTAGTAGATGACCTGTTTGGTAGCATCGTTTTGGATGCAGCAGCTGCTAAGTACATTGTCTGTCGTTGAGTGCCATCAACAAAGCTTTCTTCAAAGAATTGTCACAGTAACTCCATGTCTTGTGTTCTTTGCTGCACTGACCTAATGTAGCAATCAGGGTACTGACAGAATCTTGAATTTATCATTTAATCATTAACAATAGACCAATCTTAAGTGCATTAAAATAGCTTTTCCCAAATATTACATTTCACATGTTCTAGAAGCACTTAATTTTTAATAGCAAAAATTAAGCTAGCGTTCAGTTTGCCGAGAAATTTTGATTCTAGATTCACTTTGCACATTACTTTTGCCAACAAATGAAATATTCTCTGGCTGCGTTGTTTCTACTGTTGAAACCGTATCTCTTACCTTCATTATGGAATAAGATAGGACTCCCATGTATGAAAGTAAACTCCTAACTGAAACAGAGCACATACCAGGAAGTGCTACACCTGCCCCTACAACTCCCCCCTCACCCCCATCCCAGGCCCCAAGAAGACCTTCCACATCAAACAGATGTTCACCTGCACGTCTGCTAATGTGGTATACTGTATCCGCTGTTCCGGATGTGGCCTCCCCTACATCGGGGAAACCAAGCGGAAGCTTGGGGACCGCTTTGTGGAACACCTACTCTCGGTTCGCAACAAACAATTGTACCTCCCAGTCGCGAACCATTTCAACTCCCCCTCCCACTCCCCAGACGACATGTCCATCCTGGGCTTCCTGCAGTGCCACTCCGATGCCACCCGAAGGTTGCAGGAACAGCATCTCATATTTCGCTTGGGAACTGTGCAGCCCAATGGTGTCATTGTGGACTTCACAAGCTTCAAAATCTCCCCTCCCCCGACCACATCCCAAAACCAGCCCAGCTTGTCCCTGCCTCCCTAACCTGTCCTTCCTCCCACCTATCCCCTCCTCCCACCTCAAGCACCACCCCCACCTCCTACCTACCAGCCTCATCCCGCCCCCTTGACCTGTCCGTCCTCCCTGGACTGACCTATCCCCCCCTAACTCCACACCTACACTCACCTTTACTGGCTCCACCCCCGCCTCTTTGACCTGTCTGTCTCCTCTCCACCTATCTTCTCCTTTATCCATCTTCTATCCCCACCCTCCCTTGCTATTTATTTCAGAATCCCCATCCCCTCCCCCATTTCTGAAGAAGGGTCTAGACCCAAAACGTCAGCTTTCCTGCTCCTCTGCTGCTTGGCCTGCTGTGTTCATCCAGCTCTGCACCTTGTTATCTCAGATTATCCAGCATCTGCAGTTCCTACTATGTCTGAAACATACCTTCACCACATTGTGTTAACTCAATTGAGCAAAATTATGGGTTTTTTTAAGACTTTTTCTGCCTGAGTGGCACTCTGTAAGTCCAAATTTAGCTTTTTTTTTTGCTCATTCATGGGAAGTAGGCATTGCTGACTGGGTCAGCATTTATTGCCCATCTCTGGCAGCCCTTGAAGTGGTGGAGAGCAGCCTTTTTGAACTACTGCCAACCTTGTGCAGGTAGACTCAAAGGGAGTTCCAGGATTTAGACTCATTTGGACCTATAGAACAAGGATACATTCCCAAGTCGGGATGGTGAGTGGCTTTTAGGGGGAGTTGCAGATGGTGCTGATCCCACATATCTGCTACCCTCATCCTTCTATCTAGAAAGGAGCATTGTTTGAAAGGTGCCATCTAAGGACTGTTGGTGAATTTCTAGTGCATCTTGTAAATGTTACAGACTGTTACCACTGAACATCAGCTGTGCAAGGAATGGATGTTTATGAATATGATGCCAGTTATGTGGGCTGCTTTGTCCTGGATGGTGTCAAGCTTCTTGAGTGTTATTCGAGCTGCGACAATGTAGACAAGTGAGGAGTATGCCATCATTTATACCTTGTAGATGATGACAAGCTTTCGAGAGTCAGGAGATAAGTTTCTCACTGCAGAATTACTAGCCTTTGACATGCTCTTGTAGCCACAGTATTTATATGGCTAATCCAATTCACTTACTGGTCAATTGCTGTAATTCACCTTGCAGTGGGCCGTAGCAAAGCTGAGGAGTTTAGGAAGATGGTTGGATCGCAAGGAAGTAGGTTACTGAAGATGATTTTGAAGCTGGGAGGAACAATTAAAAATGCGAGCAAATGAACTCCAGACAGTGGAGCCAAGAATCCTGAATGTTTTATCACTGAAGATGGGTTAGAAGAATCTAAAGAAGGCCAAAATTGGAAGAATGGAAGTTATGTGCTGGAGGATACAATAGAAGTGAAGAGAAACAAGGCCACAGAATGATTGTAAATGAGGCTAGGAACTTTGAATTTCTTCTTGGGAGATGGAGATCTGACAAAGATGATGAAGAGTTTAGAATGGTAAAATGTAAGTTAGCTTTTGACAAGTTCGAACTTAGAATGTAGGAAAGATGTGGATGAGGGTTTTAGTGTTCATGAGGCGAGGCAAAGTTGCAATGGGGAGGTGAAAATAAGTAAATTTGATCGTCCATGAAATGGAGGGTTTGTAAGCTTGCCCTTTTGAAAGCAGACAGGCCATACACTGTCAAGTTCAACCTGTCAGAGCAGCCACAGAAGAATGGGATCAAAACTAGATTGCAGAATTCTTTTGACAGGGGAAAATTGCCACATATGCTTAGAGGTGACATCTGGGTATTATTAGCATGCACTTATAGTTGACTGTTTGATTCTGAAACAGTTGGGGTGATCATTGCTAATTTTAAATCTCAAGTTAGTAAGTATATGAAATATACATTTTTGTTAAAGAAAATCAATTGCACCTGAAGTGAGGCATAACAGCTGTGTTGCACGCAGTGTAAAACTCAGAAACACCAACTTTAGGACATGGCTTCTGGCAATCAGATACTTCTCATAAATCAAACTGCTTCCAGCCATTTTCAATCCATTCTGCTTTCTAGCCTGTAACTCTTACGTACCATAAGCCTCATACTATGTAATGGAAAGCTTCCTGAAAATATGCCTTTCATAATCAACCCATAAGCAGATACTGGGTTGCTCTAGTGTCACTGATCCAAAAACAATCTAACAAAAGTGCCCCTAATGCAACTAATGAAATCAGAGATCGCAACATATAATTTGATCTACTTCCTGAGTTTTAAAAACTACTTCTGTTCACTATAAATTCTAGTTCCGCTCACCAGTCGTGGAAAACCTCAAGTCTCCCACTGGATGCCCTATACTCTTACTCAGTGCCACCTGGCAGCCAAGTTAATCACTCCAATGGACAGTGTGCACTGTCAACATCCGGATGGTCATTTAGCCCGATCCAGAAGGAAATCTTGTCTGTCAGTGCCAACTCCACAACAAGCAGTTAAACAATAGGACCATAGGACTAAAGTGCAAACAGACTTTGAGGAATAACCCTTTCAAATATGTGGAAGTGCTTTTTAAAATTCAATATTAGTTGTAAGGGTATACCTCATTTGATGGTTGATTTCCAGTGGCATCGAATCTGTTTTGCCCACCTAAAACAAATACAAAATTATTCACAACCACTACCCCGTGATTGTACAATGGAACAGGCATTTCTCCCAGTTTTCTCCAATAACTGCCAGTCTCATCAGCAACCCACATGCCTCTGCAAACGTTGTTATTTGTTGTCCGGCCTCCAAGGATCAACATATTTTCAGAATTTGACCGAATCCGTGTATGCTCAGTTCGCAATATAGGCTGAGCATGTAACCGTGAGTGGTAACTAAGCGCTTCCCGGAGGTATTTATTGCACTGGGAATCAGTTTTCATGATTGAGATTTCTTCAACATATTTCTGTAAATCCATAGCTGAAATGAGGCAGAATCGAATTCTTTTCAGAATATGCGCTGCATCTTTCAGTCTGTTCTTATCATGATGCAACCACAAGGTTGCACAATTAAATAGTTCAAGTTCACTGTACTCTTGTATATCACTGTTCTCCAGAATTTTGCATAGAGTTGCTTTGTCTAGTTCTACCAGATGGCAGGGATTTTCTAGTATATATTTATAGTGTTGACCCAGATACAAAAATGCCTTTTGTCTTAACTCTTCTGGTCCAAATTTTTGAGTAATTTTAAAGATATCCAAGCAGTTTCTGTGGTTGAGATGTTCTTCGAGGAATCGAAAGCATAGTTTGATTACATCTTGCACCAGCAAATTCTCTGCTGCTTTTAATACATCTTCAATGTTATCTATAGTAAGGTCTAATCTGTTTGAATAAATGAAATCCAACACGTGTTTGAGTCCTTTTGCAGTGACATTCAACCTAATGTATTTAGTATGTTGACTCTCTATTAATAATTTGCAATAACTACTCACTGATGCTAGAATGACCTTGTGTGCAGGAAAGGTAACTCCTTCAGCCTCCAGTATAATGTCACACAGAATGTTCTCTGTACGTAAATTGTGAAGCCCTTCAAGTAGCCTGGAAGGATAGGCCTCTGAAATCAGTTGTTGGTGCTCCACACTGTCTTGAGAACTGGTAGACATTTTTCAGAGAGAGGAAAAATAAGTCCTTCTGTAGTGTCCTGGTTTCTAATTTTGCTTCCAATTGTTTCCTTTGTTACAAGAAACTCCAGTTTAGGCAGAATACAAACACTCTATAATCATGTTATGGCAGAATGATCCTTTAAAAGTTCAACAACCTTAAAGTCAAGACATCTATTGGGACCAGAATATCATAGTGAAGATGACCTTGACAGACTTGTGTACTGCAGAGATTGTATGGTTATTAGTCGTGAAGTATCAATTACAAACAATATGCCATAGGTATTAAGTCACCCTGAAATCTTTCAAAGATAAATATTTAATTATGTGCAGTTTACTTCTGATATTTCGAATGTTAAATCATTTTGATAAAGCATATGTTAAACTACAATATGGTTATGTTGCTTAACTCACTTATCCTGCCATTAGCTCACAGTATTCTGTAATCCTGAGAAGGTATCTCTTGTTGCCTGTATTGTGTTTCCTTCCTGCTTCACCGATCTGTAGTTATGGAGATGTTCAACCAGTAAAGGTGTTGAAAGTGCACCACTATACAGAACTGAGTTCTGTCTCTTGATCGTTGTCAGCAGCCAGTTGTGCTGCTCTGTAACACTAAATGCCCAGGTTCATTGCTTACTTTGTCACACTGACCGTTTTAGCCTAGTGACCATAATGGGATGTTTTCCGATTTGCTGCTTAGTTTCACTCGTGTTTTGTTGTTCTTCAATTATTAAAGTGTCACTGTACTTGCCTGGGCATGTCTAAATGTTTAACTCTACAAATTAAATACTATCAGTATTCAGGTATGTTATGTTACTAACACAATTTGTATTCAGTGTTCCATAGGATATTTATGAATGTGAAAAATACCTGTTTAATGTTTTTGCAAGTAAAAAAAGTTTGGATCATGTGCAAAGAATGCTTGCTACTTGTTTAAAAAGTAACATTTGTTAATTGAAGTACAGCAAGAAAGGGACTGAATTGAATCTTAGTTTGAATTAAGAATTGTCCTAGTTTACAGATCTGTTTAAATTTCTGTCAGCCTTTCATTTGTTTTTCATAGCAAACTATTAGTGCAAATGGGACAGAAAAATCAATTATAAAATGCTGGAGATAGTTAATTTTTGGTATTTTTTTTCTTATTCATCGATACTGGGCGTTCAGTAAAGTATAAAAACCAAAACTTAAACTATTACAGTGGTTTTAAAATCATTGTTTTAAATGGAAAATGAACTTTAATAACAGCCTTAATGCAGCTTTTGAAGGTTTTCCCAACTCCAATACTTAACTACCCACTGGTTTTGCAGTGAATCTTTGCAAAGTTGCCATTTATTTGAACTGCATTGTGCAATCATATTGAGACCTAAACTGCAAATGCAGTAGTAATGAATCACAACTGTATAATGTAAAGACTGTATGTTTTTACTTTTCTCTGATTATGCACTGAAATGGGAAAAAGATTGTTACAAAAACAAAGGATTGTGGAAGGAACTGATGACATTTTTTTGAAAACAACTTACCAGGGCTTGTTTATAATTGTTTATTCAACCAGTGGAGAAAGGTGAGTTGCAGACAAACTGGCACCAGGGAGCAGATCTGTGAGATTCAACTAGCAGCAAGTAACTGATTGGTTTGTGGAGTGGTGATTAGTTATCAATGGCAAAGATCTTCTGCCTGCCAACAACTATCTAATTAGCTCCCAGGTAACTAAACTACTTGTGGATGTGAAATATATAGCTGGAACCCTTTGGACCTCTGGCACCCTTTTCTCTGCAGTTTTTTTTTAAATACATAAAACCTGAAGAAAACAAGTTCGTATTCCCTCACCAGTTGCTATAAACTGTTGTCTTTAACCAATATGCATGAGACTACATAAGTTGTGAACCAGTCACTCCTTGCTTCCTGCAAGCAAATTAAAGTATCTAGAGAAGAGCAGTTTAGGAGCAGCAAGTCAGAAGGCTCATCTCAGCAAACTGTGGGCATGCACCATTGAACTACCTTTCCAGTTTTCGCTCCACCTATAACACCAATGGTTCTGTTTTTTGTGTTTGTCTATGTATGTGTACAGACAGTGTTTTTTAAGGGAGTTAGAGTTTTAATCAGTGGAGTTATATGTTGATAGCTCATAGATACTAGCTAAAGGTGAACAAACATTTTCTAACAGTTACTTTTAAATACCAAACATAACCCATACTTTCTGTTAACTTGGATCTTAAAAGACATGTAAATTGGGGAATTTTGTGTACTTGATAAAATCTTTAACATTTGAGAGACTTCAGGAATAGCAGAACTTGGTTTCCAGCACAATTCCCCAGAGAGGCATGACAGTAGGATAAATTTGATATATAATGCACTGTTCATTGTGAGCAACCTAGAAGTTAAAAGTACTAAATTGCAAGTGATCAAATCTGCCAGATTACATAGGACTCTTTCTTTATACATTATATGAAATTCTGGGAACTTACTGATTTGTAAGAAGGTTAGTGTTTTCAGAGAACTGCATCCTATGATGTACTTATGTTTACTATATTCTTAACACTACCTTCTGATGGATTAGTTATAAGGTGGAAAACTTCGGTGATTCGATGAATGATGGAAACATCTCAAGAATGTACACTTTTAAACCCATTCAGAAACAATACTGATTAAAGTGTAACTCAAATGTGTTATAGGTCATAGGGATGTACAGCATGGAAACAGACCCTTTGGTCCAACTGACCAGATATTCTAAATTAGTCTAGTCTGATATGCCAGCATTTGGTGCATATCCTTCTAAAGTCTTCCTATTCATGTACCCACTGGGATGCCTTTTAAATGATGTAATTGTACCAGCCTCCTCCACTTCCTCTGGCAGCTCATTCTATACATGCACTACTGTCTGAAAACATTGCCCCTTAGGTCCTTTCTAGATCTTTCCCCTCTCGCCTTCATCCTATGCCCTCTAGTTTTGGATACCCCTACCCTTGGGAAAAGACCTTGACTGTTTGCCCTATCACATGCCCCTCAAGATCTTATAAACCTGTATAAGGTCACCCCTCAGTTCTGACGGTCCAGGCAAAATAGCCCCAGCCTATTCAACCTGACCCTGTAGCTGAAACCCTCCAACCCTAGTAACATCCTTGTAAATGTTTTTTGAGCCCTTTCAAGTTTAACAACATCATGCCTATAGCAGGGAGACCAGAATTGCATACAGTATTCCAAAAGTGGCTTAACCAGTATCCTGTACAGCTGCAATATAACCTTCCAACTCCTATACTCAATGCACTGACCAATATAGGCAAACATACCAAACACCACCTTCACTACCCTATCTACCTACGACTCCACTTTCAAGGAACTATGAACCTACACTCCAACATCTCTGTTAAGCAACACTCCCCAGGACCTTACCATTAAGTATATAATTCCTGCCCCGATTTGCCCAACAAAAATGGAGCACTTCATACTTACCTAGATTCAACTCCATCTGCCACTCCTCAGACCATCTGATTAAGGTCTCATCATACTCTGAAGTAACCTTCTTCACTGCCCACTGCACCAATTTTGGTGTCATCTGCAAATTTACTAGTTGTATTCACATCCAAATCATTTATATAAATGACAAAAAGCACTGGAACCCGAACTGATCCTTGCAGCACCCCACTGGTTACAGGCTTCCAGTCTAAAAAGCAACCGTCCACCACCAACCTCTGTCTCATACCTTCGAGCCAATTTTGTATCCAAATGGCTAGATCTCCTGGTATTCCATGTCATCTAATCTTGTTAACCAGTCTACCTTGCGGAACCTTGCCATACCAAGGTCCATTTGGACAAAATCCTGCTGCCATCATCAATCCTCTGTCACTTTTTCAACAAGTCAAGTTTGTGAGACATGATTTCCCATGAACAAAGCCATGGTGGCTATCCCTAATCAGTTCTTGCCTTTCCAAATGCATGTAAATCCTGTCCTTCAGAATCCCTTCCAACAACTTGCCCACGACTGACATTGGGCTCACTGGTCTTTCGTTCCCTAACTTTTCTTTACCACCTTTCTTAAATAATGACACCACGTTGTTAGTTGTAACTGTTGAGATGCTGGAATTCCAAAATGGACAGAGCTGTCAATTGTCAGTTGAAGAGGTTATCGAGTGAATTAAATATCATTGATGTACACTTTTTTCTAACTTTAACTTGCTCTTTAACAGGTATGTTTTACAATTCAACCGGGACAGCAAGGTGTTTTGATATCTATTCGGAGTACATACATTGTTCTGATCCGACAGGATGTGGCTTAGGCTCAGCAAGTCAAGCATGGGATTTTCAGGTACCAGCACTTTTTAAAATATTTATGAAATATGATGCAATTGATGAGTGCTGTTCCCAACTTACCGTAGCATATCAAAGGGAAATGTACAGGGAGAAGTTCTGAGGAAGGGATATATGACTCGAAACGTTAACTCTGATTTCTCTCCACAAATGCTGCCAGACCTGCTGAGCTTTTTTCAGTAATTTCTATTTTTATCTGTGATTTACAACATCCGCAGTTCTTTTGGTTTTTATTTAGTGGTGTTGGGTATCTTGAAAAGCATTAAGGTAGATAAGTCTCCAGGGACTGAAGGGATCTATCCCAGGGTAATGAGGCAAGGGAAGAATAGCCAGTGTTGTTCCTTCGCTTAAGAAGGGCAACCAGGATAATCCAGGAAATTATAGGTCTATGAGAAGATTTTTAGGGACAGGATTTATTCACATTTGGAAAAGAATGAACTTACTAGTGCAGTCAGCATTGCTTTGTGCAGGGGAGATCTAGTCTCACAAATTTGAGTACTTTGAAGAAGTGATGATGGTAGGAGTGTAGGACGTAGTCTTCATGGATTTTACTAAAGCATTTGACAAGGTTCCTTGTGCTAAGCTGGTCCAGAGGTTTGCCACATGGGATCCACAGTGAGTTGGTAAGTTGGATGCAAAATTGGTTTGGTGACAGAGGACAGAGGGTAGCTGCAGAGAAGTAATTTTCTGACTGGAAGTTTATGTCTAGGTGTTCCACAAGGATCAGTGCTGGGACCTCTGTTTGTTTTAACTGGGGGAGTTGTGGGTAGTGAGGAGGGTGGCCAAAGGATATAGATCAGTTGGAAAGGTGGGCGGAGAAATGCCAGATAGGAGTTTAACATGTGAGGTGATATATTTTGGAAGGTCAAGTGCAAAAGAAAAGTATACAGTAAATGACAGAACCCTCAGGAGCATTGATAGACAGAGGGATCTTGGAGTACAAATCCATAACTCCCTGAAAGTGGCAACACAAGTGGATAAGGTTGTAAAGAAGGCATACGGCATTCATTTGTCAGGGCAGTGAGTATAAAAGTTGGCAAGTCATATTGCAGCTATATAAAGCTTTAGTTAGGCCACACTTGAAGTATTTTGTGCAGTCCGGTCCCCACCTTATAGGAAGGATGTGGAGGCCTTTGAAAGGGTGCAAAAAACGTTCACCAGATGTTGTCTGGATTGGAGTATGTTATCTCCAAGGAGTTGGACAAACTTGAGATTGTTATTGCTAGAACGTCAGAGACTGAGGAACAACCTGATAGTGGAGCTGGTAGAAGCAGGTACGATAACAATGTTTAAGAGACATGTGAACAGGCAGGGAATATGGACCATGTACATGTATATGGGATTAGTTTAGAATGGCATCATGGTTGGCACAGATACAGTTGGCCAAAGAGGTTGTTCGTATGCTATACTGATCTATGTTCCAAAAACTGCATTCACTTGTATGAAAGTATTTTTCTCTCACGTCACATTTTTTCTTTCACTAATCAGCACTGACACAGCTGATCCTGGTGTCTTTTTGCTCAGTAATAGGAGCACCAGTGGCAGATTCTACTACAGACCTTCAAGTCCCACTTCAGATTCCTACATTGGGTGGCACGGGAGTTTAGTGGTTTGCACTTCTGCCTCAGCGCCAGGGGACCCGGGTTTGATTCCACCCTCAGACGACTGCGTGGAGTTTGCACATTCTGCCTGTGTCTGCATGGGTTTCCTCCGGATGTTCCAGTTTCCTCCAGTCGTCGAAAGGTGTGCAGGTTAGGTGGATTGGCTATGCTAAATTGCCCATAGTGGCCGTGGATGTGTAGGTTAGGTGGATTAGCCAAGGGGAATACAGGAATATGGTAAGGGGTGGATCAGTGGTCTTGATGGGCTGAATGTCCTGTTTCCACACTTTTAGCCTCAATAAAAGTTTTTTTTTTTTAAAACTTATTGTATTTATAATGTATTAGATATAAAATGTAAATAGCATTTGCAGATTTAAGAAACAAATTTATAAACAAGTTAAAAAGGAATGGCGTAAACCCAAATATTTTGGGAGCATTCAGTCCTGAATCTCTTTAAATTTACTGTGTGACACCAGGTTTCAATTTGTATCTTGAAACTTAATTTAGGATGTTTATCTATTTGCAAATAATAAGTCACAGATTGATTTGGTGCCTGTAAAGATTCTCCCCTTCATGGTATGGTGCAAATAAGCGCAACCTTTACTGCATTGAACGATTTTCAGTTTGTTCAGTACAATACCATTAATATTTTAATTTTAATGTACTTTCTCCTGCCTGTCTATTTATCATTCTACATGTTTTAGGATGTGCAAGGGAGAAAAGGACTTAAATAGTTTAAATCTAAGTTTTTCATTTTCTTATTTCTGATTTTTTTTTATAGGCTTGCACAGAGATCAACCTGCTATACGAAAGCAACAATGACACAGATATGTTCCCTGTCATTCCCTTTACTGAAGCAATGAGGAGGAATTATTGTCACAGTAAATGGGGTGTATACCCAAATTCACAATGGTTAAGAATCCAGTATTGGGGAGATGGTAATTTAATGTTTTATTTCCATTTTGTTATCTTTGGTGCAGCAAGTTGTAACCTAACTACATTTTTCATTGTATAGATTACAAAGCAGCAAGCAATATAATATTTTCCAATGGTGACTTGGATCCCTGGGCAAATGGTGGTGTAAGTATTTACTGCACTGAGGACTGAATTGCACAAGAGTATGGTGCAAAGCCAATAACCATCTTTTTCTCCCTTTATAAAACAGATTCTCAAAACAATGAATCCTTCAGTGATTACTTTTGTTATAGAGGGAGCAGCACATCATCTAGATCTGAGGTGGGAAATGAGAATTGTAAGAATTAGAACTTGTGTTTGTTGCTCCATGTTAATTGTAAAATATGTCTGGAACAAATTAAATTAATGGATTGAGTTGTTTTCAAGTTTTAAATTATCATTTTTCAGAGCATCTAACGTTGCTGATCCACCATCAGTTACTGTGGTTCGTAAAATGGAATCAAGCATCATCAGAGAATGGGTGAAAAGTAGTCAACTTCGTTATGTTTAACACAAGTCAGATGTTAACATCTGATGATGTTGAATCAAAAATGTATACAATCATAGGACTTTTGTTAATGTTTGAAAAGAATTATGACAAGGAAATGTATGAAACAATTAGTATTGGAGAGACATAATTTTGTATTTGCATTGGAACTGGAGAAATTTTATACAGTTGTCGTGTTTTAAATGAAATAAACAATTTACAGACAAATTAACTTTATTTACAATGTTGTCGAGAAGGGAAGCAAAATTACATCTAAAACCCTGTCCAACATTTTAACAGTACATTCAGTTCAAGGAATGATGGATAAGGACCTAGATTAAAAACTATATATAACTTAAAACAGTCGAGTTATTTAATGACAAAAGCTGAAGTAAGTAACTTTACAGAAGGGATATGTATTAATGGACAGCTGTACCAAAGAGCCAGCATAGGCATGATGTTCTAAATGGTTTCCTGTATCATACATTTAACCACACACTTAAACTAATCATAGACAGGTTAAAGTTTTTGTAGATACATATTTCAGCATTCAGCATAATGTTCACAAGGAAGTACGTAAAATATCTGCATCCCCTTTCTTAAAGGGATTAGATCACCATTGTACAGTGAATGCCCACCATCCGTTTCATTGGATTTATCTTCATTTCAAAAGTACTCATCCTTATCTGTTTCATTTCCCTTTTAGTCATGGAACTATAAGACCCCACCCAGATAACTACTAAAATAAACTGTGCACATTTAAGGCAGCCATTTAAAATTACTGGCCAGTGGCACAAAAATCAGAAGCAGCACTGCTCAATTTCATTTTGAAGTTAGAAAAAGTAAGGGGTTTCTCTACAGGAAGGCAACCTTGCATTAACAAAATGGATCAGATCAGCATGTGCTACTGGTTCCATAAAATCTAAGGGGTCCAAACAGGTATTAGTTCACTCTCTCTCAAAGACCAATCAAGTTTTACAACAATTTTGAAAATTTAATCAGATTACTGATCTCAGACAACTTACATATTATGGCTCATATCCTAAGTTACAACCATGTTTTTACATTAAATTTTACATTAAATTTAAAATACTCATATTGCATTTTATTCTTTGAACACTCTCTCTGCACCAGCCACAGATGAACTTTATAGTTAAAGCAATAAAAGCAGCCAAACATTTCATTTGATATTCGTAAGAGATAAAGAAACTTATTTCATCAGGCAATAGCATCTATATTAAAACACTCTGTAAAGACACTGATAGATGACATCTGTTTCCTATATTTCAAATAAAGCTCTAGCCTGAAGCATGGTAGAAAAAAGTGGATATTTTATTTTTAGGAAAACAACTCTGGAAACAGTGCTGTTGGAGTTAGAAGATATACAGGAACTTAAATAGAACCCAGATTTGAAAATAGAGTTTAACCACCAAATAAACAGAAATTTAGACTAATGGATTATCCTATCCTTCATGAACCCACATTTTCAACTCGAGTAAGATGTTCAGCACTTGCATACATTATAAATATAGTTGATGTCACCATGTATTGTTAATGTAAATTTTTAAAGCAGTTATAGATCAAAAAACTGAGAATCAATTTTGATTGGTCTGTAATAACCAAGGAAAATATTAATTGCCACAGTTGATATTTATCAGAATTCAGATTAGAGTTTTTATATTTGAAAAGGATTATATTAAAATTTTAAATCTGAATTGACATCAAATCTCATGACCCATTCATTTTGTAGAAGACAAGCTACACAAATGTAATTTTCTTCTGCAAAGACTGGTGTAGTGTATTGACCATTACATACTAATCTGTTAGACTGAATTGGGTAGGCAGGAAGCAATCAATGAATGGAGATGATGCAACGTTTGGTATGCATGTTTTGTAATGTAAAACAGTCCATTTGAGTGCAACAGTTCATGTACATATTTGTTCCCTGGTTTATAGTTTGTATGTTCACATTTTTTTTTAAAACACATCTGTGTAGGTATGCACTTTCACAGTGATCAATACAAAGTAGAACAAAACTTCCACACAGTGGTTATCTCCTACTGACATCAGATCCCACAACTAAGATGTGCCAAACATTAGGCCAACATTCAAAGCATTTCAACATTCATCAGGTTGTCCATATTGGAAGAATATGTGCTTCAGTATTAAAAATATATTTGTCCAGGCTGATTAAGTTGAAATCATTAGAAAATAGAAGGAATAAATATTTCAGTGTCTCTCCAAGGAAGAAGCTTTCCATTTTATCCCTGGGTTCAGGGTTCTCAGATTTCCTCACATTATTAATAGAAGTGTATCCACCAGTGTCAACCTGTGTAAAATTACAAGCAACTGTTAAAACCTCCACAATAAATTGATAGGTTACATGCCATTTCTACAGCAACTTTCATAATTAAGACATCCTGAAGTGAAGGGTAGCAATTGGTGTAACATGACAGAGATTGAATAGTAATATGGATAATGACTGTATAATCTGTGTTAGCTCAAGTATAAATATTGGCCTCAATTCCCTTGTATGATGATGCTGCGGCTTTAAGAGGTGTGTTTCGTCCATGTTTCTTTTAGAAAGAGACTGGGGACAGGTGTCAAGCAGTCTATAAGAGGATAAATAACTTGAGGCCTTGGGTGCTTTTTTAAAAAGTTGAAGTGATAGAAGCAGCCTGAGTGGGCGTGGTCAAGAACTCTCAAATCCAGGATTTTTAGTTAGCTTTCAGCAGTAGATTCTGGGGTCTCTGCAGGGTTGAAAGGCAGTGAATCTCTCCCAACTGCTGCCCTCTCTCACTGGGGAGCTGCTGAATGTATCTCTTTCTTGCTGATAGGATTACATGTGAAACACTGTTTTCCTGAATTTGCCTTTTTGCCAAGGGTATGTTTATGGGAAGTTACTAACTAACTGTCCCAATATGGTAATACTGCATCTATTAAGCTTTTCAATAGAGTTAAGTTTCCAAGTTCCTCGTTTTGTTGTTATTTTAACTATAGTGCTTGAGTAAGTTTTGTTTAACATCAAGTAGTTTGACCAATTGAATTACATCTAGAACACAGCACCTCACTAAAGTAAGAAAAAGGTAGGGTCTAGGCTAACTTCTTATTACTATTTTGAAGAGGTTTGGTCTGATTCATAACACTTGCTACCCTTCAAAAAGTGCACTGGATCTTTTAAGCCTACCTAAGAGGAAGTATGATGCGTCAGTTTAATGTCTTACTGGAAAGCCATGAGATCAAGTTCACTTTAGGACACTATGAGTTTCACAGCTGTCATATTTTAGCTGATGAACATTTCTTTCTTTTGTCCTCCACCCCCTTTTTTCTCTTAATTATCTCCTTCCTCTCAGTTCTTTCACCCTTCCATACAACAACATGTCAGTTAGTTTATGCCTGTGATAGAAATGCTTTCAGAAACAATATTGCAGGACAAAATTAATCATAAGCTGGATGTATAATTTAATTAAGGACAGCCAGTGTGGATTTGTCAAAGGCAAAGCACGTCTAACTAACTTGATTTTTGATCAGGTAGCAAGAGAGTTGATGAAGGCAGTGCAATCTAAATGGACTTCCAAAAGATATTTGATAAGTGCCACTCAAGCTTGCCATTTGAAGTTCATGAAATAAAGAGAACAGTGAAAACATGGATACAAAATTGGCCCAGTGAGAGGAAAGAGCGAACAATTGTTTTATTGGGAAGCTACATGGTCGGGTTTCCCAGTAGTTGACATTAGGGCTGTTGTATTTTTCTAGATCACTACCCAAATCTGAATGCAAATTTACAGATTATCTAAAACTTGGTCGTACAATGAGCTTCAAGGAGGACATCAGTTGATATAATGAGTCGACATGTGATGTATGAAATGATATATTTTGATAGGAAGAACCAGAGAAGAAATAAAAAAAAGATAGTTCTAAAGACGTCTAGCAACAGAAAGGTATAAATGCACATACTGTCGAAGGTGGCAGGATGGGTTAAAAGTGGTTAAACAGAATCATGGATTTTATAAACAGGGTATAGGCCTGGAATTTTAGCTACCAACACAGGCAACTTGAGTCAGGACCTGCCTCGACAAAGGCGCCTCAAATAGTGGTAGCTTCTGCTTCAAATGGGTATGGGATAAATTCAAGCCCATCAATTCTAGAAATAGTCCTGAGGTTGGGCTGATCAAAAGACTTTGTTGGAATATTTTAGGCTCTTGGCTCTCATCTATCCCCAGTGATCTCTTATACATTAAAGTCCATTCACCCAGTGTGCACTATTTACATGACCCCATGGGATGGAAGTACTAAGAGATGAAAAGAAATCCATTCTTATGTAAAAGTGTCAAACATTCAAGTATAAAGAGCTTCAAATCCCTCCATTTTGTCCAAAAAAACACTGGCAAGACAGATCAGAGCAAGAACAGGCAACCACTGATAAATCAAGCAAACTCAACATTTCTATGGTTGCTTTTTCACAATTATTAGTAAGGTTGTTAATTATTTGAACAAAAAAAAAACAGGGTTAATTGTGTGTATTACTCATTTAACAAAAACAATTTTACATTCGAAGAACCAAAAATTACATGTTACTTACCCGAGTATACTTGTTAAAGTTTTGGAGAATTTGCCAGCCCCAATCCTGGTATTTTTTATCACGTGTAAATCTATACATATAGAAAAGGCTTTCTACTGTCTCAGGTCTTAGAAGGTTGTGTCTGTCTGCAGGCTGTCAAAAAAATTGACTGTTATCTGAAACAGCACTTTGAAAAGCCATTATAACGATACACAAGCGACACCTAAGTGTGTAACTCCCATATGTGAAAAGTGAGGACTCACTGAATTAGCAACAACAATGTTTACACTGTATTGGCATGGCTATTCACATTCTAAGTCTTTTTAATCGACCTGTTCAGAGATGTTACGGTACACTTCTGGACCAGGTGGGACTTGAACACAGGTCTTCTGGTTCAGAGGTAGGGATTCTCAGTTTCACTGACTGATTGTTGATAGTATTATCATATGCCTTTTGGTACATCATTCTTGCATTGCTGGGAGCTGTTAATTCTGTTCCTTAAAACAAAGCACCAGCATTCCAAAACTGCAATCTGTATTATGCACATTGATTTACACTAGTTAATGTTAATCTCCACATTAAATCAAACAACAGTGAATTAATGTCTATTCTGTTTGTCAATTTCCATGGACAATGTTCACCACTTAAGACAACAATGTTCAACAGACACAGCACAGCAACACTTTTGATTCTATTACTTCTCCATTGCTTGAAGTTTAAATGTAGTGCGAGTTTTTACATGGACCTTGTCAAGATTTTTGACTGAAACATTTATTTGGTGTGACTTTTAATTATAAAAATGACCCATGAATTGTCAATAAACCCTAGATATGATTGGATGGGGTTGAATACAATAAACTTTTGTAAAATGAATATTTGTAAGGATGAAATGTCAATCATAAATACTAAGTACCATGCACTACATTTTTCTTTAAAAAAAGAATTCCCACTGCACCTACCTTAACTTCTACATCTTTGGTATTGTGTGGCCTCAGATTGAAGTGTACAATTTCTGGGCTTAGTCCAGTTTCTATTTGTGCATACATTTGATAACAGGTTTCCATCAGTTCTTTTGCCAGTTCCATGTGATCTGCATTCAGTCCATAGTGAGCTCCTAAAGCTAGGGTCCCAGGGAGGAAACACACCAAATGATCCTTTAAAAACAAGGAAGAAATGACTCACATCAACATCATCTATACTGGCAATACACAAACTTCTTGGTACATCAATGAGAAATGCCTTGATTTTAATGGAAAATCAGAGGCAGATTTGACTTCAAACTATACAACGAATAAGACATTTTAGTCCCAAATCCATAGCAGAGTCAAAGTACATTGAGGACAGAACTTTTTTCAGCATCATCAGTTTTGGTACTCTAATCATACGAGTTACTGTTTGCATTGGTTTCTGTCACACACAAAGACTTTTTATAAAATGCAAATAAAGTATAAAAGTTGAAATGCACTGTACTGAAGAGTTACATCAGTTTAGGAGAAAAGACAAGAACTTGTGATCTTCATCGGCTTTTTAGTTAAATATTAACTGATAATTGGCACAGGACAGTTCCATTAAAACCCCAAAGGCAAACAACCAAATACTGAGCACAGATTATCGGTCTCAGCATAAATAGAAAGCCTCGGATACTCCAGGAAGTAGCAATGATCGTCTGATTTTTGTTCCATTTGAACAATGACTTGAATCAATAACTACACCTATTGTGTCACCTAAATGAAAAATATTTCTCTCCACGAGTAGATCTAATTTTTAAAGCATAATGAAAGTTATTATATTACTGCTTGCTTAATTTGATTTTTGTTAGACTGGGTTCTGTAACCTGTATCCTTCAGTTACAGTGAACCCAACTCTCATACAAGATCCAGCTCAACATTTGTCTTCAATTTTGCCAATGAGCTAGTATCAGAAAATGTAAATTCAAACAGCTCACTTGCTTACCTTCAGATCAATATTTCACACAAGTGAAAAATATAAAAAAAATGTTGTATCACCTTACAGGCACTGAGACCTAAATAAATTAATGACAATTCCAACTTTTTAAACATATTTGCTCCAGTAATCAGAGACATACGTTACATGGATAGATTGGAGAAGCTGAGAGTTATTCTTACAGAAGAGGAAGTTGAGCTTAATAATCTCCCTTTCTTTGCCAAGTATCAGTTAACTGAACCAACCTGAATGCTATATTTGATCACGGCCACATGCAATGCCAAAGTAACTACCATTAAGAAAAAAAATTCATTTTCAGATGCTCATTGCCCTCTTAGTTTCATGAACACAGTCTAAAAGTGTTAAACAAGACTCAAATGAAAAATATGTAAAGTGCCACTAATTTAGCATTTTTTAATTAAGAAATTCAATAATACTAGCTGAGCGAGACGTGACTTACTAATGAAAGGTCAGAAATCACACGACACCAGGTTATAGTTCGACAGGTTTATTTGAAAACACAAGCTTTCAGAGTCTTACACCTGAAGGAGGGGCAAGACTCCAAAGCTTGTGTTTTCAAATAAACCTGTCGGGCTATACCCTGGTGTCGTGTGATTTCTGACCTTGTCCGTTCCAGTCCCAACACCAGCAACCTCCATATCATTACTAACAAAAGGCCTTTTTATCAATTTAAACATTAAAGTTAACCACCACAAGCTTTCCCAAATATACTTCAAGTTCTATTTTACCTTTTCTATTTTATGCATTACCTCCTTAACAAGCCAACAATCTGAAGGAGTATTTACAGTCTGCCATCACACTTTGGGCATTTGTTGATCACAGGAATTAGTGAAACTCACAGGTGTTTAATAAACATAAATGATATGTGATCTTAAATGTTAATTCTTTGTTGATTTATTGCAATGTATACTGGATAATGTACAAACAAAAACACCATGCGATTTTAAAAGATTGAAATATTGCTATAAACCAGTAACCGGTATGTTATTTGTAAATACATCAACTAAGACAACATCAAAAACCTGTGGATATTCTGTTCTACAAACATTATACATTCATAATAAATTCAGTCATTACACCATTTGGTCCACTAAGTCTATGCCCTACTCTTCATAGGATAATCAAATCAGTCCCATTGCCCTGAAGTTCCTAATTCTTCTCCAGTTCATTACCACTTGCTGCATAGAAAATTTCTTCTTCACATCTCCATGCATCTCGTGTCCAAAACCTAAATTCTATGTTCCTTAGCCCTTGTACCACCAGCTAGTGGGAACAGTTTTTCTTTCAACATAATCTTGCAAAACCTTATCAACTCTCCCCTCAATTTCTATAGTTACTTGGAAAATAACTCAACTTCACCAACTTAATCTTACAGGTAAAATCCCCCATCCCTGGAACCATTCTTGTAAATTTCCTTTCCAGCCTTGCACGTCATCTTGGGTAGTGACCAGATTTGAATGTAATATTCTACGTGTGGTCTAACTGGAGCTTTATGAAGATATAGCATAATTCCCCCAACTTTTGTACATGATATCTCTATGAAACCCAAGATTTTTCATTGTAGATAACAATTACATAAAGTACAAGTCCACCGACAACAATTAAACCGAGTTTGCATTTTATAAATTATTCTTTCATGGGATGTGGACGTCTCTAGCTAGGGCAGAATTTATCATCCGTCCTTAATTACTCAGAGGGCAGTTAAGAGTGGCATTGCTATAGGTCTGAAATCATATGCAGGCCAGAACAGATATGCTCAGTAGATTTCCTTCCTTAAGGGACGTCAATGAATCAGAAGGGTTTTCCCACAATCGGCAATGGTTACATGTAATTAGGGGAGCTCCTTATTCCAGATTTTATTGAACTCAAAGTTCATCATCTGCCATGGTTGGGATCCCAAACTTAGCCGAGGGTTCTAGATTGCTACTCCAGTGATATTTCCACTATTCCAACATCTCCATCCAAAATACTAGTTCTGCAAGAACACAATTTCTAACTGAATACAAATAATTTTTTTTGACTGCAGTATTCCAAATTGAATCAGTACTTGCTGGCCATTTCAGCTCAACAAATTGTGCAACCGAATTCACTAAATATATAAATAGAAAATAAGTGGCTCGAGCCAAGATCAAATAGCTTCCAGGAATAAGACTACATAACAGCATCTTTTATTCTGTCACCACAGTGGCCCAAATTCAAAGCACAGGATTACCTTTGAAACTAGCATTTTCCCTAAAACAAAGAAAAAAAAGTAGCACAATGGTGGATAGCAAGCAGCTTCTTTTTGTCTTTTCTTTCACGGTATACAATGACCCCTGGCAAGGTCAGCATTTATTGCCCATCCCAAGCTGGCAGTAAGGCGGAGTCAGAATCCTATATAGATATTTTCTAACTAGCCTGTTCAGCGATGTTATTACACACCTCTGAAGAAGGTGGGTCTTGAGCCCAGGCCGTCTGGCTCAGAAGTAGATACACTACACTGCATCACAACAACCCCGAGAATCCTGCATGTAATGATTCCAAATAGTTGTTTGACATTACAGAACTTGAATGAGGGCACACTTTGTTGAATGTTTTTTGTCTTGCAGTTGTCAGGAAAATTCACAAGAATACCAACTTAAGACGAAAGCCAGCATTTATGGTGCATGACACGACAGTGCCAATCAATTGGCACGTGAACCTTGGTAAAGAAGTTGCAATGGAAAATGTATCAATTAATGATGATTGTAAGTTAACTTGTCAGGCATTGTTTGAATTTTAAACCAGGAATGTTAACCCTGATTGGTCAAGGAATTGCCCTGGGAAATGAACCAATGAATGGCTGTCACCTTGCCCACATAAAGCAGGGATGTGGAGGTGCCAGTGTTTGCCTGCGGTGGACGGGGTCAGGGGTTGCGCTGCATCAGGTTGCGGTCCAGAGGGTTTGTTTGGCAGCACAGGCTTTCGGAGCCTTAATCCTTCTTCAGGTATTAACAGGGTGGGGTTGCTGAGCCTCCGGGAGCTTGTGTTGTCGGGTGGACCTGTTGGACTCTGGCCTGGTGTAATGTGGTTTCTGACTTTGTCCACATAAAGCAGGAAGAAAGTAGTATTGGCAACACCATCTGAGTTAGTAACTGTCACAACACAAAGTAGTACACAGATAGAGCTTTCTGGTCCCTTTCGCCATCTCCTTGATTTCACAGAGATAATTACTCCCCGTTCTTAACTTATACCCTCCTTTCCCACAGATTCAGGACAGGGTTAATGGCAGGATTATCGGCAGTGTGGAGGAACAGAGGGATCTTGGGATCCATGTCCATAATCCCTCAAAGTTGCTACCCAAGTTGATAGGGTTGTTAAGAAGGCGTATGGTGTGTTGGCTTTCATTGGCAGGGGAATTGAGTATAAGAGCCGCAAGGTTATGCTGCAGCTCTATAAAACTCTGGTTAAACCACACTTGGAATATTGTGTTCAGTTCTGGTCGCCTCATTATAGGAAGGATGTGGAAGCTTTAGAGAGGGTGCAGAGGAGATGTACCAGGATGCTGCCTGGACTGGAGGGCAGGTCTTATGAGGAAAGGTTGAGGGAGCTAGGGCTTTTCTCATTGCAGCGAAGAAGGATGAAAGGTGACTTGATAGAGGTGTACAAGATGAGGAGGGGCATAGATAGAGTGGATAGCCAGAGACTTTTTCCCAGGGCAGAAATGACTATTATGAGGGGGCATAATTTTAAGGTGACTGGAGGAAATATAGGGGAAGTGTCAGAGGTAGGTTCTTTACACAGAGAGTGGTGGGTGTGTGGGATGCGCTGCTGACGGTGGTAGTGGAGTCAGATACATTAGGGACATTTAAGCAACTCTTGGATAGGCACATGGATGATAGTAAAACATAGGGTACGTAGGGCAGTTTGATTTGAGTAGGATAATAGGTCGGCACAACATCGTGGGCCAAAGGGCCTGTACTGTACTGTTCTGTTCTATGTTCTAATCTGTTGAGTTAAAACAGGCACAGCACATGAACATGTTCTGTTTACAGAAAAAAGGACCCTAAGTATTAATACATGCTGCTTCTTGTACACATCAGTACACCACACTGCAAACTTGATTGATAACCCTAAAGTATTTGACAGCATAATTCTTCACTCACACTCGACAAATATTACACAGTTGCAGAATCACATCTACTGTTGGACATTGTTTTGCGTACATAGGCTGGTTGGGTATAGCCAGAACCTTACTGCAAACAGCCAAAGGCCCATGCTGCAATCCACCAGTCTCTGGGACTTCATAGCCTACAAACCTGGAATTACATCAATGCTCAATCTCACATACCGCATTACACATTTCTGTGACAGGCAGAATGTTTCTTCGGCTTGACGGTAACATCTCGTTAGTGGAAGACATCACTGCATAGTAGCATAGTGAAATTGCTTAAAGTTTTGACATACCCTTCCTGGCCATTTGGTGATAAACTGGACATTTTTCAGCACCAAAAGTGGTACCTTACAGCCTTTCAAAAGTTTCAGAGATATATAGGGAGAAATGACCTGATCAGGGGTAGGCATTATCCCACAGAATAACTTTGATACACCCTATTTCAACATCAATTTTACAGTGTGAACAAATGGATCAGTCTCTGTTTAAAATGCTGATAAGGCCAATCATATAACACGTGCAAAGCTGGATTTAATGATTAACTAGTACAAGGCAGTTAAAATAAATTCAGTCATTAAAGATGCAAAAAGTTCATCTGAAAGATGATTTCTGTACAAAAGGCAGAACTAAGCATTTTGCTCAAAGTGATGGTTATTTCATATCAATTTGGGCTTTCATACAATAGTTTATGGACCTGTTCAAGGAATAAACTGCTCTTGGAATAAACACCTCTGTTGATGAAATTCTTCCACAGTAGTGGAATGGTTATTAAGCATTTACAATCAGAGAAAAAACCCAGGAATAAAAATTATTCAAAGCAGCCCATGCTGATCTGGACTCAAGCCCTAAAGTGAAGTTCACCATCAGAAACACCTCTAGATATTTTTTAAGCAACCCATTCAGAGATGCCACTGCACACCTCTTGAATTTAGGGATCCTGGCTCAGAGGTACGGACACTACCACTGCACCACAAGAGTGCCAGAAACACCACTACGACACAAAAAGCAGTGAAGAGTTAGGCAGTTTCATTGGTTACACATTAACTAATTTGTGTAAGAACAGAGATCACATTCTGATTTCAAAGCTACTTACCATCTTAGGACTGAATTGATTGTGGGACAATTCACCGACAAATGTCAGTTTCCTTGGTTCTGACTTACGAATCAAGTTCTTCTTGATACCCTCTATAGCTTGCAGGTAGTCATCTAATAAGCTGACAAACACAATAATGGAAATCAACACAGGCTTTTTTTTAACAAGTACTAACCTAAGTATAAATGGAAAATTGAATTAAATGACACTGTGACAGCAACAGAGCAATAAGCAGGAATACCAAGAAGCTATATCACTACAAATCATCTTTCAAGTAGCTGGTTGAATGGTACTGACAACCAATACCTTCAGTGTCTGCCTAGCATTTTCTCACAATTATAAAGTCATTTCAGATTCATGTCAGTGCAAACTCTGAAGCATACACAATGGAGATTACTGCAGGACAGATGACAGCACAATGAGGGGTGACATTATTTCTGCATGGCATCAGATACAGACCCAGTTGGCACAAAAAGGTAAGTCTAGTGAACATTACATATTTTAATAAGTCTATCTTTTTCTGGAATTTCAACAAAAAGATGAAAGAAAATAAACTGCAAAGTTACTGATGAAAGGCACTGGTTGGATTAGTTTGAATTGTGTATCACTTACTCTGATTCTTTCCTTCCTCCCTGAATCCACTGTTTTAGTAGATACTCATAGTAGCTGTCAGCCCTGGCACCCAGTGTATAGACTCCAAGGTGACTAAACTGGCCAGAGTTAGTGTTTATGAACATCGGAACTAATCCATCCATTTTCCCTCCAAGTTTGTGAATATGTTTCATTACTTCATTTACTGATGCCTGTTTGAGGGTTAAAAAAAAAATTCTTAACTTCAGAATTCAAGAACTGACATAAATTTAAATAATTTAATTTATGCAGCATCTTTCATGACCACAGGATTTACAATCAATGGTGATGGACCAATATTTGGACCCCAGCACCAAATATGCCAGTCTTCACCAATTCAATTCACTACATGTGATATAAAGAAACAGTTGGAGGCACAGGATACTGCAAATACTATGAACCCTGACAATAAGCCGGCAAGAGTATTAAAGACTTTTGCTGCAGAACCAGCTGCACCCTAAGCCAAGCTGTTCCAGTACAGTTCCAACTCTGGCACCTACATGATACTGGAAAATTGCCCAGCTATGTCCAATCCACAAATAAAAAGGACAAATTGACCCTGACAATTATTGCCCTGTTAGAAAGGCTTGTCAACAGTGCTATCAGGAGGCACTTGTTCAACAGTATCCTGATCTCTGATGGTCTCTTTGGACTCTGCTAGGACCACTCACTGCTGACCTGACAGCCTTTGTCAAAATATGGACAGAAGTGAACTCCAAAGATGAGACCGAAGTAACAGCTTTTGACTTCAAGGTGGCCTAACAAAACTTAAATCCCAAGGAAATCAGGGGGAAACTCTCACTGGTTAGAATTATTCCTGACACAAAGAAAGACGGTTGTGGCTGCTGGGTGTCAATTAGGGGTCAGTACCAGGATATCCCTGCAGAGATTCCTCAAGGTTGTGTCCTAGGCCTAACAAGCTTCAGCTAATTCATAAATGACCTTCTATTAAGGTCCGAAGTGAGGACGATCGCTCAATGTTCAATGCCACAGGACTCCTTAGATACTGAAGCAGCCCGCGACCTAATGCAGCAAGATCTGGACAACATATGGGCTTCGGCTGATAAGTTACAAGTAACTCGACTGCAAGTATCACACAACGACCATCTCAAATGAGAGAATCTAACCATTATCCCTTGGCATTCAATTATATTAGTTGAATCACCCTCTAACATCATCCTGAGAATTACCATTGATCAGAAACTAAATTGAACCAATCATGAAAAGTACCTGTACAGTGGTGATAAAAGCAGGTCAGAGACTGGGAGTTCAGGGTAGAGTAATTCACCTCGTGACACTATCTGCATTGCACAAGTCAGGAGTGCAATTGCCTGGATGAGTGCAGCCCCTACAACACTCAAAAAGCTCAACACCATCCAGGTCAAAGCAGGCCACATCACTGCACCCCATCCACCATATTCCATTCCACGGCATATTAATGCACTGTGACAGCAATGTGTACATCTACATGACATACTGCATTATGGCACAAAACACCTCCGACATCATTTACAGACCTCCACCAACAAGAAAGATAAGGGCAGTAGGCAGTAGAAATATAATCACCACAGCATACATATCTTGATTTGTAACTATATCACTGATCCTTCACAGCCACTGGGTCAAAATCCTGGAATTTCCTTCCAGAGGCACTGTGGATGTTCCTACATGTTTCAAGAAGACAGCTCACCATCACTCTCTCATGGGCAATATGGGCTGGGAATATATTATGGCCTAGCCAGTGATACCCATATCTTATTAGTGAATTTCACTTTGACATGTAGTCATTCTTATAAAGTAAAAAACACAATAACCAAATTGGACATAGCAAGGTCCAAACAAAGAAAGACAAAAGTCCAGATAATCTATTTTTACACTATTGTTTGGAGGCAAGTATTGACCAGGACATCACAGATAATTTCCCAGCTTGTCTTTCAGTACTATGGGATATTTTTAACAACCGGCGAAGGGGCAAATGGGATCTTGCTTCAATGTGCCACCTGAAAAGTGGAAACCCTGAAAATAAAGGAAACACCATTTGACTGCAACTCATTTTCTTGCAACAAGTTCAGGCCTATCAAGATACAGAATACCGTGAGATTTGTCTGATACTTAAATGCTTGTGGTGGCGTTAAGGAAGAGGAGCTACACAAACAATGAAGCCAGCCCCAAGTTCTGTCACAGGAGGGAAAAGCACACATCCCTGCCATACCAGTTACAGCCACAATGAGGTGCTGTGCAGATGTGGAGTCAATGGTTTAACAAAAAGTGAAGCACCAAACCATGAAAGAAAGCAAAATGACCTTTCCGGATTTTCGGTTGGGTAAGGTCTATGGTGGCTTGGAGCATAGGATAGAACCTGTGCGCAAAGGTGGTTACTAATCTGGAGCCACACTGGACAACAGCAGCAGCAAACTGTATTGTTCAGGATAATTTTTTTGTTTAGCTTTACTCAATGAATACTGATGCATGGAGGATTTTTTTTGAATGTCAGTGTGTGAGCACTGCCAGTTTTGGTTAGCCAGGATTTAAGGTAGTTGACCTGTACACAGCTTTCCTCATCCACTGATAGGGGCAAAAAAATAATTTTGCACTCTTTCGACTACGACCATTTATATTACACCCTTGAAGTAATGTTCCAAGGTATTTCACAGGAGCATTATAAAAGGAAGTATACACCTAGCTACATAAGAAGGTATTAAGGTAGATATCAAAAAAACTACTAGCTTTACCAAGTTTAAGGATTGTCTTAAAAGGACCAAAGTGAGGTAGGCAGGCAGTGAGGTGTAGGGAGAGAATTCCAGAGCATTGTGCCAAGGCAGTCGAAAATACAGCCAGCAATGATGAAGCGATAAAAAAAAGGTTTACTTAAATAGCCAGAATGAATTAAGTGCTGATAGCTGGGAAGATCATGAGGCCGGGAGGAGACTGCAGAGGACAAGACCATGGATGATTTGAAACAACGGTAAAAAAAATGTTGCTTGACAGGGAGCTAATGCAGAACATGAAGCTGACTGATGAAATAGATTTGGTACACACTAATACACAGGCAGTGGATTTCTGGATGACCTCAGGTTTTCAGAGGGTAGCTTCTGGGAGATCAGCCAGGCCTGTGATGGAATAGTCATGCTTAGAAGTAGTAAAGACATGGATGAGACTTTCAACAAGAGACGAGTTGGAACAAGAGATAGATCAGGAGATGCCTACAGGTGGAAACAGGCAGTCTTAGTCCTGGCACATATCTGTTCCGTGGGGTCAATATGGGCTGAAAGTTGAGAACAGTCATGTTCCTCACTAAGATGATTGCTAGGAAGAGGAATGAACTGATATAACTCAGCATTGTCAGTGGCCAAGACTATGAACAAAGGTTTCAGTATTCCCAATATTTAAGTATTCACTATTTAGAATTGCTTACACAATGAGGCAACGTAAATTCAGTTTAAAAGCCCACAAAGACAAAGGACAACCTTAAACAAATCTAGTCTGATAGTTATGAAATATAATTGAAATGGTAAACATTCAGGGGGAGAAAAAGGATGACCTTGTCACTGCATCTCAAACCATTATAACAATACAAAATGTGGCTACAGAAGATGTAATTACAAATCCTGTAATACTGTTTCTTCAAATTTGGTTCTTGTTGAATCTAGCTGTCTCCTACCTGGACACTTCAAGGGAAGATATTGATAATGACTTGCTGACTTTAATGAGCATAAAGTTTGAACCAATTGCAATTCATTCCAGGCATGTGTATAGAGCATAAAGCATTGATACGGACAGGTACAGCATAGAGTAAGCTCCTGTTACTACTTTAGATCTGCAATTACAGCAATGAATCAGAGCTGGGGTACAATTGAAAGCTGCCCTACTTTCACCTAAAAAAGCAAGATTACCTGATCCTAGCTTTCCTTAGGTATATGTCAATGTAAATTACACATGTTCAAACAGACTGGCATGTTATGCAAGTGTTGAGCAAACCGAATTTTCTTGATAAACGTATTAGCAATTAGACTTTTAAAAAAATATTGCTCAGGACAGAAAATAGACATGAAGCAAGAAAAACTTACAAATTCACAAAACAGTTATAGGTTAGTTTTCTACTGTATCTTATTAGCTAATGCTTGCATGTTGATATTAGACTAAGCTGAATATTATTCGGAAGATCGACTTAATGTTAGATTATAGATATTCTCAGTTGACAAATCACAATTAGTGCTACATTTTAAGGACTATGTTCAAGCCATGGACAAAATTTCATATGAGAGATGACTCGTGTGTCACAGTTACAACCTGCGATCTGGGACATCTGGGTTCAAGTCTAACCTGTGGTGGATGCGTTTCATACATGTCGTAACAGGTTGATTTAAAAATAACAATAATGTCAGGAAGGGTCTTGTAGCACAGCGCAGCATACTTAACTCTAGGCCGAAAGGTCTAGGTTCAAGTCCCACCTGCCCTACAGCATGTCTGAACAGGTTGATCAAAATAGCTGCAATTTCAGATAAGCCAGCTGCAATTCACCAATCTACAATACCTGGTATTTCTCTTCTTTAGTCAGTCGGCTGAGCTCTCGAAACTCCAGTTGAATGCTGGTCACTTCTGCAACGGTGCTGTCTGAGGTCCAACGTGGAGGATGGGCTGTTCCACGACCAATGTTTACATCAGAATATGGAATTCTGGATGGAGTATCAAAAGCTGGCATAAGGCGATTCCCCAACTCACTCTAATGTTGTAGGAATTTAAAAAAAAAAATGATTCATTGAAAAGCAAAGTCTCAATGTTTGGCTAGTCACCAATTTCATAGACCTTAATGAAAATTTACAGAAGAGAAAACTAATCTTGCATTTTAGGTGATATTGGTTAGTTCTAAAGTTGAGCATGAGTGACTAGGCTCCTGCATGGCCAAACTGAAACAAATTTTCAATAGAAAGAAAAAACGCATTAAAATGGACAAAGCAATTAGGGTCTTCAATGTAAAAGAACTTACCCTCTTGTATAAATATCATTCCCCTTCCTTTTTTGTAAAGCAGTCAACATCAATGTGAAACCAAAAAAAACCATAAATTATACGGCTAAGGGAAAGAACAGAATGGCTAGGACAATTTAAAGGTCTCAAAGACCCAACACAGGGATGACTGACCAAATAACTACCTTCTGTGCTTAAAAAGGTAGACATAGTGAGTAACAGTTCTAACCAAAATGTGCGAATGTATGTTTACAAATCTAGAAAACAGTTATAAATTAGCTTTCTACTCATCTATCTTATTAGCTAATGCTAACAAGTTGATATTAGAGTAAACAAAATACACGGCATTAACATTATGTTTAAGGCTGAACGTTTGTCAAGAAGTTTGAGAAGGTAAATTTTGCTTATTTCACTAAACAATACTTCTTTTAAAATTAAAATTTGCCTCTTAAATATTACGCACATTTGCTCCTTGCTTATTTTACAAGGTCGTGAGAAATTAAAGGTAAATATCTGAGAAAGACCCTCAGAAAATTAGGGGACGGATACCCAAAGAAGTAGGAAACCAAATCTGACTGAAATTATTTATACCTAACTTGTTCTAACATCACTGAACAGGTAGATGGCAGCAGAAGCAATACGGAGAACAATTTCAGCGGAAGACCTTTACATCCATAATGTTTAAATCACATGGACCATGCATTCATGAAAGGAGGAGGCTGAACAACAATGACAATGGTGTATTACAGATAAAGCATTGGTTACCACAGTTAGTTGGACGACTGTTTGCAATGCACAACTTCACAATTGGTGAGTTGACGTTACCATGAAGGAATCTCCTTCTCAACCCTCTCCACCAGTCATCACTAAAGGTGAATAAATCCCTGACACCTGATCAGGTGTACCCTAGAACTCTGTGGGAAGCTACAGAAATGATTGCTGGGCCCTTGCTGAGATATTTGCATATCAATAGCCACAGGTGAGGTGCTGGATGAGGTTGGCTAACGTGGTGCTACTAGTTAAGAAGAGTGGTAAGGAAAAGTCAGGGTACTATAGACTGATGAGCCTGACATCAGTGTTGGGCAAGTTGTTGGAGGAATCCGGAGGGACAGGTTTTACATGTATTTGGAAAGGCAAGGACTGATTAGGGATGTCAACATGGCTTTGTGTGTAGGAAACTGTGTCTCACTAACTTGATTGAGTCTGTTTGAAGAAGTAACGAAGACATTGATGAGGGCAGAGTGGTGAACATGATTCTGTATGGACTTCAGTAAGGCATTCGACAAGGTTCCTCATGGTAGGCTGGTTAGCAAGGTTAGATCATATGAAATACAGGGAAAACTAGCCATTTGGATACTGAACTGGCTCAAAGGTAAAGGACAGAGGGTTGCTTTTCGGACTGGAGATCTGTGATCAATGATGTGCCACAATGATCAGCGCTGGGTCCACTGCTTTTCGTCATTTATATAAATGATTTGGATGTGAACATAGCAGGTATGGTTAGTAAGTTTGCAGATGACACCAAAATTGGAGGTGTAGTGCACAGTGAAGAAGGTTACCTCAGAGGACAACGGGACCGAGATCAGACAGGCCAATGGGCCAAGGAGTGGTAGATGGAGTTTAATTTAGATAAATGTGAGGTGCTGTATTTTGGAAAGGCAAATCAGGGCAGGACTTATACACTTAATGGTAAGGTCCTGGGGAGAGTTGCTGAACAAAGAGACTTTGGAGTCCAAGCTCATAATTCCTTGAAAGTGGAGTCGCAGGTAGATAGGGTAGTGAAGAAGGTATTCGTTAATCTTGCTTGTATTGGTCATTGGGGGGTCATGTTGCGGTTGTACAGGACATTGGTTAGGCCACTTTTGGAATACTGTGTGCAATTTTGGTCTCCTTACTATAGAAGGGATGTTGTGAAACTTGGAAAGGGTTCAGAAAAGATTTACAATGATGTTGCCAGAGTAGGAGGGTTTGTGCTATAGAGAGAGACCGAATAGGCTGAGGCTATTTTCCTTGGAGTGTTGGAGGCTGAGGGGTGACCTTGTAGAGATTTATAAAAGGTATGAGGGCCATAGATAGTGCGAATAGCCAAGGTCTTTTCCCTGCGGTGGGGGAAGCCAAAACTAGAGGGCCTGGATTTAAGCTGAGAAGAGAAAGATTTAAAAGGGATTTAAGGGGCAAATTTTCACGTAGACGGTTGTGCGTGTATGGAACGACCTGCCCGAGGAAGTGGTAGAAGCTGGTACAATAACAACATTTAAAAGGCATTTGGACGGGTATGTGAATAGGAAGGATTTAGAGGGATGCCAAATGCTGGCAAATGGGACTAGATTAGTTTAGGATATCTGGTTGGCATGGACAAGTTGGACCAAAGGGTCTGTTTCCGTGCTGTATGACTCTATGAGAGAGCAGCCCTGTAGTCTGGTAAGACTATGGTGACTTTATTACCTTTAAAAAGTGTGGCAATATAAACAGACAGGCATTTTCACTTGTCTCCAAGCATCCCAGGGAAGTGTCTTACTAAGGTGAATTATGATGCACTTGCCAAAACATTTACAGAAAACTCTAATCACAAACACCCCAATTACGAAGTACAAAACTGGATGTCACAGACAGGATTAAGTGATCTTACAACCAATGGATCAGATCTAAGCTCTGCAGTCATGCCACATCCAGTCGTGAATGGTGATGGTTAATTAAACAATTCAGTGGAGGAGAAGGCTCTACAATTATCACCATTCTTAATGACGGGTAGCCCAATACATCAATGCAAAGGACAAAGCTGAAGAATTTCCAACAATTTTTAGCCAGAATTGGATGATCAATCTCAGCCTCTTCCTGAGGTGCCTAAATCAAAGATCCCAGCATTCAGCCATTTTGGTTCAATCCATGTAAAATCAAGAAATGGCTAGAGGCACTATGACAGACTGTAACTATTTTTAACCAGCTGTTTCTTTTCCATAAACAATTTCAATTAAGCAAAATTACAGTAAACAAAAATCCTTACTGCTTTATCAAGGAAGACTTGGTCTCCAGTTAAATTGTATACGCTAAGTAATCCACCTAAAATACGAATTGTGGTTTCGAACAAATTCACATCCACATTTTTACCAAGATTCAGATCAGTGACTACCCATTTCTTGGCTTCTTCAAATTCTGAAATTACAAAACAAAGTATTGCATTTTAAACATGAACAATGAAAGAAATTTAGAAATAATTTTTACAATTTGATATTAGGGGTGAACTTCTTTTGCATTGAACACTCACTTTAACATGTTTTTCTCAAATTTTCAAGTGTACATTTGCATTTGATGTTAAAGAAACAATAAAAGGTTGCCTGTTTACATTTTTCATTGATGAAATGAGGCACATTAGTGCTGATGGAAAAGAATATTTAAGCAGACATAACATGTTCCAAGATCTGCATGTCTAGCACAGCCAGGTGTAAAACAAATTCCTTTTGCATTGCCTCAGCCCTGTACCCTCAGGCTGAGAGGACCATCTCTGATAGTTCACTGAAATGAAAGAATGTCATAAATACTGTCAACTCCATTTCTAAATGTAAAAGCTCAAGTACCGTGGAATAACAAAGAACCCAATTTTCTGAAGAAGGGTCTAGGCCCGAAACGTCAGCCTTCCTGCTCCTCTGATGCTGCTTGGCCTGCTGTGTTCATCCAGCTCTACAACTTGTTATCTCTGTTGTAAATAGCAAAGACCTTGATTTCATTGACATTTTTAAAGTCTGCTTTGACTAACATCTAAACATCTAGGGAACACCATGATATTTCTGATACACGATACAACAAAGTCACCTTCTTGCTGTCCCAAAATCCACATTGTGTCCAAGGCATCAACCAAAGTCAGTCCCAAGCCAAACCATTCGCTGTAAGTCTTAGAAATGGGCTTCAGTTCATCGTGGCCCCAGGCATACTGCTTGTATCCCTTCCATGCATGTTGGAATGCTTCTATCACTGCCATCTGCCGTTCATTCAGAGCTTCTGAAAGAAAACAGAACAAAATTAAAAAGGCTGATGCAGTCGTTATGACGGATGCGGGGTGGCTCATCTAGACCAGTAGATTTAGGAGCATAGGTATGCCATTCAGTCCACCATTCAAAAGGATCTTGGCTGATTCTCAACTCCACTTTCCTGCCTTTTCCTCATAATCTTCAACTTCTTACTGATTAAAAATCTGTCTATCTCAGCCCTGAACATATTTAATAATCCAGCCTCAACAATCCTTTACGGTAAGGAATTCAACAGATTTACAACCCTCTAAGAAACTGCTCCTCATCTCAACCTTAAATATGTGCCTGGTCCTCGATTCTCCCACAAAGAGAAACAACATTTCTGCGAGCACCCGCTCAATTCCCCTAAGAATCTATTAAGTTTCAATAATGTCACCTCTCAATTTTGAAATGAGAATGAGTGCAGTCGCAATCTACTCAATTTTACTTCATTGACAGTCCCTCCATCCCTGGTATCAGCCTAGTGAACCTTCTCTGGACTGCCTCCAATATCAAACTGTTCACATTATTCCAGCTGTAGTCTGACTAGTGCCTTGTATAGTTAAAGCAAGATGTCCTTATTTTTATATTCCATTCCCTTTAAAGTAAAGGCCAACATCCCGTTTGCCTTCCCCATCACTTGCTTAACATGCATGGTACTTTTTGTGACTCACGGATGACTCCCAAATCCTGCATTCCGTAGCTTTCTGCAGTCTTTCTCCATTTAAATCATTTTCAGCTTCTCTGTTCTTTCTGCCAAAATGCATAACATCACACTTCCTCATATTACATCCCATCTGTTAAGTTTTTACCTGTCTGTATTCTTCTGAAGACTCTTTGTGTCATCCTCCCATTTGCCTTCCAAACTTTTTTTAGTGTAATCCACGAACTTGGTTATAGGACATTTACGTTCTTCATCCAAGTCACTACTATATATTATAAATAATTGTGGCTGACTACAGCACCAATCCCTATGACACTCTGCTAGTCACAGATGCCACCATGAAAATGCTCCCCTTATCTCAATGGTTTGTCTTCCAATTGTGAGCCAATCCTCTATGCATGCTAATGTATAATCGTTAACACCGTGGATCTTATTTTATTAAGCAGCCTAATGTCTGGAACCTTATGAAACACCTTCTGACAATCCAAATATATTACATCTACCGATTCCCCTTTATCCATCCTGTTTGTCACTCAAAGAATTCACATAAATTTGCTAGCATGATTTTCCCCTCATGAAGCCATGCTGACTCTGCTTGATCATATGCATTTCTCAATACTCTGCTACCATAGACTCTCACATTCTCTCAGTGACAAGTATTAAGGTAGCTGGCCTATAGCTACTTTATTTTTGGTCTCCTTCCCTTTTTAAATGTGTTATATTGGCAGTTTTCCAATCCTCTGGGACCTGTCCAGAATCCAAGGTTCCCTGTGAGATCACTACCAGTGCATTCACTATCACTGTAGTTTGTTCCTTTAATATCCTGGGATGTATTCCATCAGGTTCAGGGGACTTAGCTGTTTATAGCCCTATCAGTTCCCCTAGCACCTTTTCCCCAGCAATAATCACTGTATTTATTTTATATCCTTTTGCCCCTTAAATAGTTAGTAAATTTGGGATATTATTTGTGTCTTCTTTTGCGAGACAGATGTAAAATATTCATTCAACTCTTCTGCTATTTCCTAGTTTCCATTATTTCCTAACCCTCATTTTCCAAGGGTAACTTTGATCACTTCAGCTTCTCTCTTCCCTTCAATAAATTGAAAGAAGCCCATCTTGATATTACTTGTATGTTCACCCTCAAAATTTATTTTCTACCTCTTTTTTGGTTTTCTTTCCTTCCTTTTTAACATGTTCCCAATCCTCTAACATACCACTAATCATTGTATGCTTTTTCTTTCAATCTGATGTTACCCTTAATCTCTCTGATGAACCATGGTTAGCTTAAAGTCTTCCTAGAATCCTTGTCTTTCACTGGGATATATCTTCAGTTTGAGTCATGAACTATTTTCTTAAAAGTTTGCGATTGATTGCCAACTATTTTTGCTGCTAAACTCCTTCCCCAGTCTACTCCAGCCGGCTCTGCCCTCATTCCTTTGTAAGTAACCTTATTTAAGCTTAGCACAGTTGTTTCTGACTCAGGATCCTCCCTCTCAAACTGAACACAAAATGATATTAATGGTACGGTCACTGCAGATTAAAAGTTTTAAAATCAAAACTACTTAGCATTAGCCAAGAAAAAGGAGTTTCAAAACAGTTCAGTTTACTCTCTTGCCTGTGCCCTGTCTATTTTATCGCTTTTGCTTCCCATCTCTCCTGGTTTTTAGGATTGAACTCTATTCTTGCTGGCAATTTTTCCAAAACCATATCTTTAAAGGCAAACAGTGGCAAGAGTCAGTCATGTTCTTCTGGTGACCACATTCAAAATTTTCCCAGCAGGAATAACTAAACCATAAATAGAATTAGGAGACTATTTTAAGTTCGTTTTTCCTGTTTGAATAGTCAAGTTTGTTGTTGCCGTCAGACTAAATATAGCACTCTTCAGGAAATCTCAATGTACCTAGCAGCCAATTAAATACTTTTAGAGTGTAATTTAATGTTACAGGGGAAGGAAATTGAGAGGATGCGACTCAAATTACACAAGTTAGACAGAAATACTTAATGGGGAAATAAATACCTTTGCAAATAATAAAGGCAAAATACAAGACATAGAAAGAAAAGGTGAATTGCACACTCCCTATATTGTACTGGATGAGCAAAGAATGAAGCTGCAAGATTTCTGGGATCTTTCATTGTTTCACCATGTTGCAAGTTGAACAAGGCGGGAGGCATTGGTGTGATGGTTATGTCACTGAACTAGGAATCCACAGCAATAGCTTCATATTCTGGGGACAGGGATTCCAAATCCACAATGCAATTTGATGCAAGTTGAATTCAACTAAAACCTGGAATAAAAAGTTGGCCCAATAGCAAACACGCAACCATTGGTGATTGAGGTAAAGCCCATTTTGTCACCAATGCCCTTTAAGGAAGGAAATCTACCATCCTTACCTGGTCTGGCAAATATGTGACTCCAGACCTACAGCAACGTGTGGTTGACTCTTAACTGCCCTCTGAGCAATTAGGCAAAAACTGGTCTAGCTGGCAAACCCACATCCACAAATGGAATTTTTTTAAAAAAGTCAGCTTTGGTTCAGTAGGTATCATTCCTGTAAAGTCAGAGGGTTGTAGGTTCAAGTCCCACTCCAGGACCTCGAGCACATTAACTAAACTGGAAATGCAATACAGAGTTGTCAGTGTTTTTTTTTAAATCTTAAATATCTGCTCTCTTTGATGGATGTAAAAGCTCTCATCGCACAATTTTAGAGAACAGCTGGACAGTTCTTCTGGATGCCCTGGTCAAACTTTATCCCACAATCAAAATCGTTAAAGCTGTGTGGAATAAACGCTCAGTTTCCCTACATTAAAACAGTGACTACATTTCAAAAATACTTCATCAGTTGTAAGGCACTTTGAATTTCCTGAGGTCATGGAAGATGCTTTTCAAATACAAGTCCTTTCTTTAAATAAAGGAAACAGGAGAATATATTTCAGAAGTTCTTACTAAATTGTAATTCTGATCATTCTAAACATTCTGATCAAACAATACTTGGAGCATTCTTGGTGTTTGTGAAACTTATATTTTTCTAATCTGGAGAGGGGACACCTAATGCATACAGTAATCAGAGAATGGAGAATATTAACTGGGGAAAAGACTTAAAAATGTAACTCGGATGATGGAAACTTAGGATTGACATCAGATGTTTCTTCTTTATGTACAAATGGTCATTGTATGAAATATGCTTGCAGGAAAAGTACTTTAAAGATTCCAACGGCTTTAGAGAAACAACTCGATGCTGAAATTGAAGACTCTAAAAGGGGCAGTATGCTAGCTTGCAGATTGGAATATTTAATTTAGGGGAGATAATGGATATAATGCAACTTATCAAATAAACTGCTGTTTGCAATTCCCTTCATCCCTTTCCTAGTCATTTATTGCCCAATTTACCTCAGCTCTTCTCAACCTTGTCTGTATCCAGCATGGTTACATACATTATTACTTAGAAATGGAGTAACATTTCAAAGGTTCTGGACAAATAGTTTGTGCTGCAAATACAACATTAAGTGACAAAGTTAAGTAAAAAGGTGCCAATCTTTGGAAACAAGCAAAAATAATTGATTAAAAAGTAATTAAAGAGATCCTGAAACACTGCACCTCAAAAAAACTGCAAAATGCTTAAACCCCAAAAGTAATTAAAGTAATTTCAAATATTGAAACAAATATTGTGAACACAACAACTTATAGCAGAATCAGCAAGGTGACCTTGTGGTTTTAAGCAAATTCCATCTCCTCAATGCTACTAAATCTTATGGCTCTTCCTCACTCGACCACCGAGCTAATATTCACATTCCCTTCCCCTCCGTCTCACTTTATGCCTTCCCTTCCCCTGCTTTCTTTCCCCTTTACTTCTCATTTTCCATCTCACATAGTTGCTTATTTGGATTTCCCTTCTCCTTTCATGTTGACTGTTTCTTTGCTCTGATCTTCTGATCACTGACCCCACTCTTCTAAATTTTTTCCACTTTGCTTTTGTTCCAAATCACTCCACTACCACCCAAGACTCAACATGTCCTATGTTCAATTTTACTCACGTCTTCAAGTTTTCAGCATGTCACTTCATTTCTGTCTTCCCTGTTCATTTTCTTGTGATTATGCCTCTTGTGATTTCTTTCTGAACTCACCCACAACTTCCAAAAGGTTCATTCAGCTCCTAATCTCCCATCCTCCACTTCATTGCTTCCTCTCCTCTTCTGCTTGAATTAATTTCCAAACTTTGACTTCAAAAGCACGTTGACCTCAAAAGCTGCCTTACTCTTTGACTTGTTGTATGAGTAACATAAGAAATAAGCCAGTACTAAACAAAAAGCAGCCTTTGTTTAACAAGTGTGAAGTCAGTGAATGTTGGTTATCTCATATTTGGCATGCTACAGGCTAATGCTGAAAGTATAATTGAATCATAGTAGGAACTGCAGATACTGGAGAATCCAATACAACAAGGTGCAGAGCTGGATGAACGCAGCAGGCCAAGCAGCATCATTGGAGCAGAAAGGCTGACGTTTCGGGCCTAGACTCTTCATCAGAAATGGGAGAGGGGAAGGGGGTTCTGAAATAAATAGGGAGAGAGGGGGAGGCGGAAAGAAGATGGATAGAGGAGAGGATAGGTGGAGAGAAAACAGACAGGTCGAAGAGGCGGGGATGGAGCCAGTAAAGGTGAGTGTAGGTGGAGAGTTAGGGAGGGGATAGGTCAGTCCAGGGAGGACGGACAGGTTAAGGGGGCAGGATGAGGTTAGTAGGTAGGAGATGGAGGTGCGGCTTGAGGTGGGAGGAGGGGATAGGTGGGAGGAAGAACAGGTTAGGGAGGCGGGGACAAGCTGGACTGGTTTTGGGATGCGGTAGTGGGAGGGGAGATTTTGAAGCTCACGTACCACCCCACCAACCTCCGGATCCAACGCATCATCCTCCGACACTTCTGCCATCTGCAATCCGACCCCACCACCAAAGACATCTTTCCCTCCCCACCCTTATCTGCTTTCCGGAGAGACCACTCTCTCCGTGACTCCCTTGTCTGCTCCACACTCCCCTCCAGCCCCACCACACCCGGCACTTTTCCCTGCAACCGCAGGAAGTGCTACACCTGCCCCCATACCTCCTCCCTCACCCCCATCCCAGGCCCCAAGAAGACTTTCCACATCAAGCAGATGTTCACCTGCACGTCTGCCAATGTGGTATACTGCATCTGCTGTACCCGTTGTGGCCTCCTCTACATCGGGGAAACCAAGCGGAGGCTCCGGGACGGCTTTGCAGAACACCTACGCTTGGTTCGCAATAAACAACTGCACCTCCCAGTCGCGAACCACTTCAACTCCCCCTCCCATTCCTCAGACGACATGTCCATCCTGGGCCTCCTGCAGTGCCACAACGATGCCACCTGAAGGTTGCAGGCACAGCAACTCATATTCCGCTTGGGAACCCTGCAGCCCAATGGTATCAATGTGGATTTCACAAGCTTCAAAATCTCCCCTCCCACTACCACATCCCAAAACCAGTCCAGCTCGTCCCCACCTCCCTAAACTGTTCTTCCTCCCACCTCAAGCCGCACCCCCATCTCCTACCTACTAACCTCATCCTGCCCCCTTGACCTGTCCGTCCTCCCTGGACTGACCTATCCCCTCCCTAACTCCCCACCTACACTCACCTTTACTGGCTCCATCCCCGCCTCTTCGACCTGTCTGTTTCCTCTCCACCTATCCTCTCCTCTATCCCTCTTCTATCCGCCTCCCCC